TTTCTTCAAAGCCATACCCTGTGGCATCTATCTCTGAATAGTGACTTCGTCGCATGTTATCCAACTTGTTATGTATCTCCCTCACATGAAGGTACAGAGTGTGAGATTTGGAAGCTTTCTTGTATTCAGATCAACCTAACAATTGATGCATTCATTCCTATACATCGCCTCATATGTTAGATCACTTTCATGGCCTTTCTCTTCAATAGGTGTCTTTACCCACGACTCTCAGCCTAGCCTTATGTCAGGTTAGACAATGCAGTCTGGGGTAGTGTCTACATGCATGCATTGTTGTTCCAGTCTGGTCCAAGCTTGGTCTCAGTATGGACAGATTTAGTTTCTTCTCCTGTGTAATACTTCAACTATGCAATAAAACTGTCTGTCTCAAAGTGGCCTGAATGTTCACCAACATTCTGTTGAAGTCTTTGAGGCACTAGTCAAAGTCTGAAAGCAGTCAAGTTTACTTTGTTCTAGTAATTTTAGCTACAAAAAGTCCATGTTTAGATTATACAAAACTCAAAAAGACTCTTCAACAAAAATACACAAACAATTCTAAGTCCATAATAATTAAGAAATCTAGGTTTCTTCCGTATTCTCCTCCTTTCTATTAACACATTAAAACAATCTTAAATTATTTTCCTTTCGGACACTACATGAAAGAATGTCCAAGACACAACTGAATACAATTCTGCAGGATACATAAAGTCTGGTAGCCTTTGTTTCGTTTGCTGCACGGTGGACTGTAACTGACTGAGTCTGGACCAGACAATCCTGTGATTGATATTATCATCCACAATCCTCATCGGCAGGGTACGATGACTCACAATGAACCAAATCACAGAGCCTGACAACCCAACAAGCACAGGTTGGTGAGGACCAATTCTAACCCAGGATCCGCACCGGGGGACGAAACATCAAAATGATTCAAACAAAACACTGCTCCAGCTAAGGCCACATTATTTATTTTTCGTATAAAGGACCCACCGCCCCTACTGAACAGCAGCATGAAAAGAAATTAATGAAACTTAAAAGTATTTTTATCTTTTATGTCTCCCACTAGTAATATAGACCCTCTTATACAATAACAAATGTTATACATAAATTCAAAGTCTACATCACTATCAGTGATTCAAGAAGCCACCTGCAGTTTTAACTCCACGGTAGAATGACTTTCATACAAATATATAAATGATTGTCATAGCTATTGATATTTATTTTTATTTTGACCAACCTTGTGTGAAAAAGCTTAAATACGTCCGTTAAACATAAAATTTAATATATGACAGCGGTCGGTAAATGATCGAGTCTGGACAAGACAATCCAGTGATTGACATCAAAGTGTCTACTCAAGACTGATATATAAGAAAAGTTCTCACTTTTCCTTGTTGTTTCAAGGAAATTATTTCCTCCGAATTATGACTGTTACCAAATCATCACCACAAACTCAGAGACCATATACTGGAATATGGTCTCTGACAAACTGAATCAGTGAACGGCTTCAACAAAGCTGTCTCGTGTCAATCACAAACAAACCCTGTAACCAGCTTCTACAGGACCCAAACATCCTGCACTAAACAGCCATACACCTCGTCAGTATGTAAGTCTACATCATCAGTAGGTGTGGAGGATGTATACAGGAAACTAACAGTACCTAGAACTGGGCTGACACTAATACCTTGGCAACATTGTACAACACTACTAGAGGTGGCAGGTGCTACCAGGTGATACATGTACAACACAAGCTAATAGCTTCCTAACAGTATCAAGGCTGGCATATCTCTGTCTAGCTTGTATAACAGTACTACTGGTGGCAGGTGATACGAGGTTATAGCTTCCTAGCTCTGTCAAGTGGATGTTGATATCTCTGTCTTTGAAAGGCATTTAGAAGTGATACACATAAGGAAGAGAATTTACGGATGTCCACTTCTTTATTATGAGGAACAAGATTCGGAGTATAGACTTACTCCTTCATCACTTGATGGAGGAGTAAGTATATACTCCGAAACATGTTCCTCATAATAAAAAGTAGACATCCATAAATTCTTTACCGGGTACTTCTGTCTACTTTGTATAGCAGTAACACTGGTGTCAGGTAAGACAAGGTTATAGCCCTCTAACAGTAACAATACTGGCATTAATATCTGTTTACCTTGTATAACAGTATCACTGGTGTCGGGTGATACAAGGTTATAGTCTTCTAACAGTAACAATACTGGCATTAATATCTGTTTACCTTGTATAACAGTATCACTGGTGTCGGGTGATACAAGGTAATAGCCTTCTAACAGTAACAATACTGGCATTAATATCTATCGACCTTGTAGCGTATCTGTAATGTTCGTTGCGTATTTGATACGCTTGGATTTTATTTTACCGGTACTGCATATTTCTGCATTTCTGATGCATATTTTACGCAGATACGCAGCTTATCCGGAGCTCTGTTAATATCTGTCTACCTTGTATAACAGTATCACTGGTGTCGGGTGATACAAGGTTATAGCCTTCTAACAGTAACAATACTGGCATTAATATCTGTCTACCTTGTATAACAGTACTAGTGGTGGCAGGTGATACAAGGTTTATAGCCTTCTAACAGTAACATGGCTGGCATTAATACCACTACCACTGTACACTTCAGCTAACAGTACCACGGAGCTCGCAGCTGCCATGTGACACAACGAGATGTAACCTGGGATCAGTCTGTCCTTGTTAGGACTTCTGTCATCATAGTCTGCAGTCAGAATGTTTGATGGTTCCCGCTGTCCTGATAACAGGCTGGCCTGCACTGGGAACCTCGAAATAACTTAATTTTAAAGGTAAAATATTTAGAGTGTCCTTAGAGTCATATATAATAGCAACAAACCTCAAGAACCCCACAACAACCCTTAATTTCTAACATTAGATTGTCACACTTACAGAAGTATTTATCCATGAACTCTTCCTTCAAGGAATCAAAAACCAACAACTTCTGCAATTTAATATATTTGTTTCTTGTTTAACACCACACTCGTTAAGACAGGTCCCTGTAAACTAGAGTTACAATGTAACATGTCAGTTACAAGCTGCCAGATGTAACCAAATAGTAAGAACAGCTCTTGACTTTGCAGTCAGAACTTCCCGAAATGGTAAATACTGCTCCAACCTTTTACGGTGTGTTCAGGTATTTTGTTGCAGAATGCACCAGAAAATCCTCATCACCGCGCCTACCCTTAACTCATGACCAGACCTGTATGTTCCATGCTGTTTAATGCCATACTATAATTATAAGTCTCTTATTTGTTTGTTTGTTTCTTGTTTAACACCACACTCAGCAATATTCCAGCTATATGACAACAGTCTGTAAACAATCGAGTCATGACCAGACAATCCAGTGGTTGACATCATGAGCATCGATCCATGCAATTGGGATACGATGACATGCATCAACCAAGTCAGCGAGAATGACCACCCGATCCTGTTAGTCGCCTCTTACACAAGCATGAGTTGATGAAGACCAATTCCAACTCATTATGTGATGTGACTTAGGGAATTCAACTTCTGTTTTCAGTGTGATGGTTCAGTATAGGTGCTAGGACCCTAATGAAGCAGGGTATATTTACCACCATCTGTACTGCATCATTGCAATGCTCTTTAGAATGTCTTTTTCAAGAAACTTACGCCAGCAACAGATATTTTACGCCTATTTCCAAAGGTTCATGGAAAGTATGTTTGAAACATAAACATGTTGATAAATGTTGTTTTAAGTTTCTTTTTTTTTGGTTCATAAGTTAGATAAAACACAGGGGCGGTCGGGTAGCCTGGTGGTTAAAGCGTTCGCTCGTCACGCCGAAGACCCGGGTTCGATTCCCGACATGGGTACAATGTGTGAAGCCCATTTCTGGTGTCCCCCGCCGTGATATTGCTGGAATATTGCTAAAAGCGGCGTAAAACCTTACTCAGTCAGTAGATAAAACACTTCCCCTTGGATTTGTATGATATTTAAAATTCTTACCCTAGGGCGTCAGCCCCTCGGTTTTATCCTGAGGATGCAGGTTTTAAATATCATAAAAACCTTCAGATGTGCTTTATCCTACAAATATAAACTTGAAGAATGGTTACTTCTGTATTCTACTGAAATCCATACCTACAAAACAAGACAGTTAACCTTCATGCTATGTTGATTACAACATGAAGTTCCAAACACTAATCTTGATTCTTTATTCTTTTCTTATTCTTGTGTCTCATGTACAAACATTAGATTGACTGTAACAGATAAAAAGGATTTCATTGAGTATACGGCTTTTGAATTTCCTTAATTTACACAATAACTCATAATACAGCAGTATTATACTAGGTAGGGCTAGTTTACTTTACAAAGGCATGAACATTTAACAATAAGGTAAGTTAAAACACAAACCTGGAAATTGCACTAAGTACATAATAGTCCAATAAAATGTACAGAAACAATGCCTTAACTGCACTAAATAAACAGAAGGCTTACTATTTCATATACCTTTCATAACTTTAGGCCATGAGAATATTTATGAGCAAAGTTGAAGTCTAGGGTGTATTTCCATGCGCCAAGTCTAAACCAGCCACAAATCCTCAATTATGAAGAATTAAGTTACTGTGTATGGTAGAAATTAACAAGATGCATTTATAAACAAATTCCTATTTATGAATTTTCAAATGAGTGAATAAATGTGCCTTACCATTACTTTAGACCTCACTGGCTCCTAGCATGACTGACATAGCTATTTATATTTATTTTTATTACGACTGACCTTTTGTTGAAAAGCTGGAATCCATCCGTGAAACATAAAATTTAAATGCATGGCCTCAGTCACCACCGAGGTACAGGATGTCATGTAGATGAAACCGTGCCCTTACACTGTTCCCTTAGTTATTTCCACCAGTATATACAACATATATTAAAAACTAGGCCTGCAATTCTGTGTCAATCCCAGATCTTACTGATATCGTATGTCATCAAGTGTCATGACACTGAACACAAACATATCTTATGTTTCATTCCTTTATTCATTTTTCATATACTGGGCATTTGTATGTTATCATAGTAATAACTATTACAGCATAAAATCTCAAACAAATGCTGGTTTCAAAGGTGGCGGGACCAATTCTATCCCAGAATCCCCAGCAGCGGCATCCGATTCAATTAAAAAATAACTATAAATGATAACAACAGCAGTATCAAGAAAAGAACTTCTTCAATCTTCTTCAAATTGTTCAACAATTAAGGACAAGGGAATGTCCTTGGTATTTCATTAGTCACTGAGTAATTGTAAAATAAATTCCTTTCCCAAAAGTGCTATAACACGTTCAGTTTCGGGAGTTATCTTCTATCAACAATCCTTAAGAAACATCTTGAAGTGTCCAAGCATCCAATAGGAACAACTGACAACCACATCAAGAACAGAATCACCACGTTCTTACGAGTTATTCATCAGCAACAAGTTGTACCTGAGACATGTCACTGTTCGTTTTCACATTCCCATGTTACAGCATCACCGATTGTCTTGGACCGTGTGCTACCTCTTGGCGCCACCTTGCTGCTGTCTCTGGGCACGGAACTTAGACACGGGTCGTGTTGGTGGTGCTGTGCATGTTTCCGCGGTACCGGCACCACGAGTGGGGTTTTCTACCACTGTGCCAGTGAAGGCGTTCTGAAAAAAAGAAGATATATTTCAAAATGAATAAGAATGCTTATATTCAAGACCTGTCTTACTAGTGGTCTTTGAGCAACGTCAGTCATGTATACAATATCCGAAATACACTTCGCAAAGGGACTGTTAAGGTCAAACATCTCCACTGCTTATCTGTGGTTCAGTTGTGTAAAAGATGCAAGTATATTACATGAAATATCTTCAATTGTAATTTGGCTATTGGTCAACATGCTAAAGGGACCGAAAACAATGGTCCACATGGTGAGGTGAGGTGAAATAGGGTTTAACGTTGCATCCAAGATTATTGCACTTATATAGCGATGTGCATGTACGTGTGTGTGTGTGTGTGTGTGTGTGTGTGTGTGTGTGTGTGTGTGTGTGTGTGTGTGTGTGTGTGTGTGTGTGTGTGTGTGTGTGTGTGTGTGTGTGTGTGTGTGTGTGTGGCTGCTTGTACTAGTTCGGATTAATGCCGATTTATAGTGCTAGCACGCTGAGATACCATGCCTCAGTTTAACAGACGACACAGTATACTGACTCTAAGCCGACCAGTCCTTGTTTTAGCACCTTAATACTGAGCACCAGACAGAGTAACAACAAGTACTATCTTTTAACGTCTTTTGGTATGATGCGGCCGGGGATCAAACCCCTGACCTTCCCCTCTCGGGTCAGACACTCTACAACTAGAACGCAGAGGCGGTCTAGTCCACATGGCCAAAACAATGTCATACATTAAATCTCCCCTAAGTTTTGGATTGTTATAGTTGAAAAATACCAATAGTGAATTATTTATTTATTATATATATATATATTTTTTTAGTTCTTTTTTTTGGGGGGGGGGGGGGGGGGGGGGATAAATCAATTGGTTAATTTAATAAACAACAAATATGACCTCAAACATCTTGTGAGGAAATAAACAAATGTGGGCATATTTCTTTTTCCAGACTGCCTTCAACACAAAATGATCAGATATAATTAAGACTATATTCAATCAAGCCGTCTTTGCCTTGTGGCAAATAGATAGCTAATTAACTGTTATGTTTGTATCTGATGCTCTTTCTCTCCTACAGACAGTTAATGACCAGTGTATGAGACAGGCCCCAGTCTACGGGTAATCTCCTTGTCTCAAGCATAATTACCAACATGTATATCAGCAAATAGCTTCAGGTTCATCGAACAAGAGAACACATGCTATAAAATAATTATATTCTTAACATAAAAATGCCAGACGTTAAAATTATTCCCAGATAACCTGAGCCTGCAATGTCTGTACATCTACAAAACAAATTCCATTTTATTGCCACCAGTAGCAACACATAATGACATGATCATCACATGTACGAATACCTCGACTTTTACCGCATGCTAAGCTTGCACTTTCTATTGTTTGTATAGTTTGCAAGAAAGCATTTATGGAAAAAAACCTAATAATTATGAAAAAATGACAGATGTCAAAACTGAACATGTCATATAAATTCCACGTATAGTGAACTTTGGGCTGTTGCCTTTCTTGTTCTGAAATAACTCGTACAAAAACTTAAATTCAGTTGTTATTTTTGTTTTTTTAGTAACTATGTTCTCAGACAATAGGTCATGAGGCTTACTGTAAAACATTGCTGCCAGGGCTGACCTGAGCTTAGTGTCCTGCGAGATACCCTCTTGAAATAAAAATTTATTTCATAATGTGACAAACACAGAGATGCTTAAAAGCAGTTCATTCTCTATTAAACATGTCAAACAATACTGTCAATATTTAATTTTTATCCTTGTGCAAAGTCGGCTCAAGTAGCTATTAAGTCTTTTCACAAAGGTTATTTTTTTGCTGATTCAGCAGTATATCAGACCAAAATATATTTTTTTCAGACTGTTCTTTTATTATACGGGTGAATGGGCCAGTGGGATCGGTCTTAGAACTGTATATTCATATTTTGCTGAATATCCCATTGCATGTAACATTTTTTTCACGTTTTTTTTTTTTATGTTGGCAACATCCCTATGTTGCTGTGTCAATCATCCCCCCCCCCCCACACACACACACAGACAGACACACACTCCGAGGCTAATCTCTATTTGCCACCATAACCTGTCTCCCTCTTTTCAAGATACAGTTCAATGTCAAATATCATTTACAGTTACCTAATGTCACAGATGGCAGACCTCGGAGCCAATAAAACCGCCAGTCACATAAAAAAGACAAAACATTACCCCATTCATCATCTATGACCCCCCTGTCCACGCAATAAACACACTGTCACACCTGGCTAAATCTCCCCACCTCAAAACACATACGTCTGACCACTACATCTGCACAACAAAAAGAAGATGCTATTTTCCTTAAGGCAATGTTACAGATTAATAACTTTTTAAAAAAATGTCTCAGTTTGATTGGAGGCTATAGCCTGAGGTGATTAAACACAGAAGAAGTTGTCAGGCAATTATGAGCTGCTGGTGAATGCATTGTAAACATGCAGGAGCGGTAATCCTCATAATAAAGACTGCAATTAGACAATCAAGTTGCAGCAGGCTGTCTACAATACCAGGATTAAGACAGTGACAACAATGGATTAGAGTACGGGTCCAAAAAGCAAGTCTGTGCCTTGAGGACTTTTGAAATAAACTGACCAAACTAGATCCAAACAGGAGTTCTAAGAGTTCCTCAAATTCAAATTCTATCACAGCTGGTTTTGTTTTTTTGTACTGGCATCGTTTTTGAGTGAGGGACTATTGCATAATGCCGCATAAGCAATATTGCAGCCATTTTTCTTATGTGTAATGTTTAATAAATGTTACAATAAATATATTTTACCCAAATGAAATACCTATTTGTGAGGCAATAAGAAAATGTACAAAAATATGAATAACAATTTCTGGTTTATTGTGCATAGTCACGTTACAATAAACCATAAATTGTTATCCATAAAGTTTTATGTTTTCTTACTTACTCACCAACTTCTAGAATGCCCATCAAACAGTTACTTGTGAGTGAGTGAGTGAGTGAGTTGGGTTTAACGCCGCTTTTAACAGTATTCCAGTCATATCACGGCGAGTCAGCTTAATGTGGGAGGAAAGCCCGAAGTGATGCAGGTCTCAGACGTTTACCACTTCGGTGAAACCCACGAGCACGGGTATGGTGCTGACAAACCTAGAAACATAATCGGGGCGAACCGGGATTCAAACCCACAATCATAGGTTTCTGGCGTGCCCAAGGGACGCAACTCTGCACAGCGAATCGCGGCGCCTTAGACGACTGGGCCACCCGTGCCCCCCAGTTACTTGTGAAGAGCAATGTGAAGATTTGTTTTTCGATAAAAGGATGTTTTATAGTGTAAGGTATACACTGACAGAACATACACCTGAATGAGTTTGATCTTACACTGCTTTGAACAGTGTTTCAGTGACATTAAAGCTAGCAGATTAATGTTAGAGAAAAGCGAAAGTGACAAAGGTACGATTCTGTCAAACCGAGTAAAAGAACCAGGATAAATCTAGGCTTTGAACCTACTACCAGCAGATCCTGACACAACAAAGGGACAGAACCATGCAATCAAATAGCAGCAGCTCAGCAGGGGCAGTGAGGTAGCCCAGTTGGTAAAGCGTTGGCCCTTCACGCTGAAGACCTGGGTTCAATTCCCTACAAGTGTACAATGTGTGAAACCCAGAATCCCCAAGGGACTATGGCTGGAGTATTACTAACAGTGATGTAAAACCAGTCTCACTCCCTCTGCTTCAGGAATACAATTCTTGTTAGGTCTACCCGACTATGTTTGTTTGTTTGTTGTTTAACACAGCATTCAGCAATATTCCAGCTATATGACAGCGGTCTGTAAATAATCAAGTCTGGGCCAGACAATCTAGTGATTGACATCATGAGCATCGATCCATTCAAGTGGGAAGCAATGACCTGCATCAACCAAGCTAGTGAGCCAGACCACCCGATCCCGTTAGTCACCACTTACAAGAAGCATGGGTTTTGCTATAGACCTATTTTACCCATGGGTTTTTTCTACTATGTACACAAGACATACATGAAACAGAGATAAAAACAAAACTGAATCTAAGGTATAGATGTCTCAACAGCAGTCTGTTTGACTGAAGTAATCACAATGACTTTCATCTACACACAAATCTCTCATAGACTCAGTGCCCACAACAACCACATTTGATGCCAATCCCAGGAAAGACAAAAAGTGAAGAATATTCTTGGTTTAAAGAAAGTACCAAAATAGCCTTCATAGGCAGAAAGATCTCTGTATCAGTAAAACCAAGAAACTGAATTCAATTCCAACCTCAAATCGAAAAGTGGTGGCACATAAAGACTCTTTATCAGCATTCAGGTCAAAGGGGGATAACTCTGCAATATTTATCATGGGTTCTGTGTGCAAAAACATGTATAATTGTTCTACCCATACCACTGTACCACCACTAGATAAATGCAAGTACATGTGAATGCTAGTATACACTATTAAAGAGGTGGAGTGGTTCAATTGACAACTTATGAAATATGAATATATATTTAATAAAACTTTAATGAAGTTATGATTGTTATTAAGGTGTGAAAACTTCATGAATCAGTTCAAAACTGATTTTACCATAAACCTCATTTGTGGAATCTTGATATTTAACTGGTATCCTTAGTTTATTACAGTCAGAAACAGGCTTTAAATACAACAGGATGCACCTACTCCTCACTGAAACACAACTAAAACCTTTTCCGACTTTTGACTACCATTTTGTTTTCTCCATTATAAAAAGCAGACCAAAATGGGAATAGTTTAGATTGTCCGACCCAAATGATTCTGGTTGGCAAGGCAAGGAGTGAGATTTAATGACACTTCATGTTGTTTGGATAAATCTGGTACTGTCAGAAGAAATCTGGTATGAAGGGTTATCTCCCTGCAAGATCAAGGGGAGGATTTTATGTAGTCTTCGTGCACATGAAAGGAGAGATTTTGATTTTATGACGCTTCAGGTAGTCTTTGTGCACATGAAAGGAGAGATTTTGATTTTATGACGCTTCATATAATCTGGTTGAGTTCTGGTTTGAGGAGTTGTCTCCCTTGAAAAAACATTCTGAGAAATACTTGCCTGGCATATATGGCTGACAGTGTGACTGAATCACGTCGCAGTATGCAGGGATGAGATTGGATATTTTTCTTTTCAGATAAAACTTACTTGCAATGGAGCGTGGTCCATAACTTGGGCGTGTTTCTGGGAGAAGCCATCAGATTTTTAACAAGTTTGTGGTCACTAAAATTCACAGAAATTCTCGGATCCACGGAAGATTCTCACCCTTAATTATGGTAATTACGAAGGTCTAAAAAATAGAATAATGTTATTACCAGGCCCTAGGTACCTCCCTACAAAACCATATCAGCCCTACAGCCATCAGAGAGTACATCGTGTCCAGTATGTCAGAGAAAATCGGGGTAGAATAGATCTTTAGCAACCCATGCTTGCCGTAAAAGGCGACTTACAGGATCGGGTTGTCAGGCTCTCTGACTTGGTTGATGCATGTCATCGTATCCCAATTGCGTTGATGAATGATCATGATGTCAATCACTGGACTGTCTGGTCCAGACTCGATTATTTACAGACCGCCATCATATAGCTGAAATATTGCTGAGTGCGGCGTCAAACAACAAACAAACAAATCATACACTTATAAGTATGGCATTAAACAGCATGGAACATACGGGTCTAGTCATGAGTTAAGGGTAGGTGCGGTGGTGAGGATTTTCTGGTGCATTCTGCAACAAAATACCTGAACACACCGTAAAAGGTTGGAGCAATATTTACCATTTCTGGAAGTTCTGACTGCAAATGGTAAGAGCTGTTCTTACTATTTGATTACATCTGGCAGCTTGTAACTGACATGTTACATTGGAGTGAGTGAGTGAGTGAGTGAGTGAGTGAGTGAGTGAGTGAGTGAGTGAGTGAGTGAGTGAGTGAGTGAGTGAGTGAGTGAGTGAGTGAGTGAGTGAGTGAGTGAGTGAGTGAGTGAGTGAGTGAGTGAGTGAGTGAGTGAGTGAGTGAGTGAGTGAGTGAGTGAGTGAGTGAGTGAGTGAGTGAGTGAGTGAGTGAGTGAGTGAGTGAGTGAGTGAGTGAGTGAGTGAGTGAGTGAGTGAGTGAGTGAGTGAGTGAGTGAGTGAGTGAGTGAGTGAGTGAGTGAGTGAGTGAGTGAGTGAGTGAGTGAGTGAGTGAGTGAGTGAGTGAGTGAGTGAGTGAGTGAGTGAGTGAGTGAGTGAGTGAGTGAGTGAGTGAGTGAGTGAGTGAGTGAGTGAGTGAGTGAGTGAGTGAGTGAGTGAGTGAGTGAGTGAGTGAGTGAGTGAGTGTGTTTTTACGCCACTTTTAGCAATATTCCTGCAATATCATGGAAGATGACACCAGAAATGGGCTTCACACATTAAACCCATGTCAGGAATTGCTTGACGAGCGGGGGCACGGGTGGCCCTGTCGTCTAAGGCGCCGTGATTCGCTGTGCAGAGTTGCGTCCCTTGGGCACGCCAGAAACCTATGATTGTGTGTTTGAATCCCAGTTCGCCCCGATTATGTTTCTAGGTCTTTCAGCACCATACCTGTGCTCGTGGGTTTCACCGAAGCGGTAAACGTCTGAGACCTGCTTCACTTCGGGCTTTCCTCCCACATTAAGTTGACACGCTGTGATATAACTGGAATACTGTTAAAACTCACTCACTCACTTGATGAGCAAACACTTGAACCACAAGGCCAACTGCCCCTCATGAATTATGAATGGTTCCTAAAATGTCTATACAGACTTTTCTTTTTTGAAAAGTAGATTCTGAAAAAAAATATGACAAATCTGTCAGAACTTTGATTTTGTACAACATTTTGTACTTAAATGTCTGGAGCCCCCACCCCCCAAAACACACACATTCTTAAGAGTGAATGAGTGAGAAGTGTTTAACGCCATTAGTATTCCAGTAATATCACGGCATGTCAACTAAATGCAGGAGGAAAGAATGAAGTGATGCAGGTCTCAGACGCTTACCATATTGGTGAAACCCACGAGGACAGGAAAGCTAGAAAGATTATCAGGGTGAACAGGGACTCCACCCCTGGATGATAGGTTTATGGTGTGCTCAAGGTACGCAACTCCTTACAGCGAATTGCGTCACTTCAGATGACAGGGCCACCCGTGCCCCCACACCCCTAAGATTGGTTGGTTTGTTGTTTAACGCCGCACTCAGCAACATTCCAGCTATATGACGGCGGTCTGTAAATAATTGAGTCTGGGATCGATGACATGTATCAACCAAGTCAGCAAGCCTGACCACCCGATCCCGTTAGTCGCCTCTTACGACAAGCATAGTTGCCTTTTAAGGCAAGTATAGGTTGCTGAAGACCTATTCTACCCCGGAATCTTCACGGGTCCACACCCCTAAGAAGTACCAGTAATATTGCTGACTGGGATAAACTGACCTTTAGGTCTTCAGCAGCTTTGGCTTTTGCCTTCTCCCTCTCTAGCTCAGCTGCCTTTCTTTCCTGCATTGTTCTGTCTTTGGTCTTCTTCTTCTTTAAAATTGACTTTGGCTGCGGAGTCTCTAGGAATTGTTTATAGATATCACTGGGACTCTGAATCTCGGGGACCTCACCGCTGTCTTCTGTGTTGGAGGTATTTCTGTCCTCGGATGAAGACTGAAAGTAAAGGTCAACATTGTATTGTGAGTAGAGTTTAATTTCACTGTGATCACTATTTCAGGTGTATCAGTGAGTGAGTGAGTGAGTGTGGTTTTACGCCGCTTTTAGCAATATTCCAGAAATATCAAGGTGGGGGACACCAGAAATGGGCTTCACACATTGTACCCATGTCGGGAATCGAACCCGGGTCTTCGGCGTGACGAGCTAACGCTTTAACCACTAGGCTACCCGATCGCCCCTCGGGTGTATCACAATGTTACAGTTAACATGGAAGGAAAGCGAAGTTTGCATGTCTCAGACGTTCACCACTGTCGTTAAAGCCTTGGTCACAGGCAGTTTTTGAAATAATCTTAAAACACAACAAGACAGTCGGAAAGGTGACCCATAAATGTTTCCTACCCATCATCAAAGATACCTGCTCACATAAAGACATTATTAATATTGAAAAATCGTGAAAAATATGATTTGGTTGGTTTGTTGTTTAACACCGCACTCAGCAATATTCCAGCTATATGACGGCGGTCTGTAAATAATCGAGTCTGGACCAGACAATCCAGTGATTAATATCATGAGCATCGATCCACTTAATTTGGACCGATGACTTGTATCAACCAAGTCAGCGAGCCTGACCACCCGATCCCGTTAGTCGCCTTTTAGGACAAGTATGGGATGCTGAGGACCTATTCTATCCCGGAATTTTCACGGGTTAAAAATTATGAGACAAATCACGTCTTTATTCAACTGAAATAATGCAAACAATTACTAGAAAATCTACACAGAAGTTATGATAAAACTGAATATGAAAGTATTCGGGGAGGTGAAGTAAAATTTCAGACAGCCCGACAGAAAAGTCACCAGCCATGGGCCGGCGGGCAGGCAGTTATTAGACACTGGTCACGAAAACCAAGGATCAAAATACACAAGGTTAGGATACATAATTTATCATTACTACTCTAATGAGAATCACAAGGAATCTTGAGACTGTCCATTGCTGATATTTCTCTCGGTCAAGAAAGTTGCCATTATCCAATGGCACAGGGCTTCAGACCAGCGCAGTGTTAAGGTTAGTGATGGGTATTGGCCTGAATCTTGTATAGAAATTTATTACAATAATAATCCATATTTTGTGATACATACTTCATGCGAACTTTCATTTGTAATTTGTTATGAACCTGAAAAAAAACACTTCCCCTGCATGTTTCAAACTCATTAAAATCAGATCTTAGTTTTCGCTACCGCTAACCAAAGATCTGAGGACATCCCATTACGGGTCACGTCAGAACGACCTTTCGCAAAATGACTGACAAGAAATCGACATTTGCCAATCAGAAGGCAGCTATCTCGAGCTTTACGGCACTAGTTTCAAACTGGCCATTACGCTTCGAAACATATTTCTTTTTACGCATTCTTGATTAAAAAATTTTAAACTGACCAAAACAACATTCTGGAATGGCTTATAGATGGCCTAGATGAGCGTTGGGCGTCTCAATCTCATACCAACTTTGACTGGAGTAGGTCCAATAGTTTTTCAGATATTGTAGTAAACGTTGGTACCTTAAATTACCTTCCAGACTATACCATTGTTCATTGCTTCTTTATGTTCTTTCAGGTTCTGGATAAATCTTGTTTTTGTGTGCTAGTTTGTATTTTCTGTCAGTGAAGTGCACTGTACGACCGACCCGTGAAGATCCGGGGTAGAATAGGTCTTCAGCAACCCATGCTTGCCTTTAAAGGCGACTATGTTTGTCGTAAGAGGCGACTTACGGGATCGGGTGGTCAGGCTCGCTGACTTGGTTGATGCATGTCATTGTATCCCAATTGCGTGGATCGATGCTCATGACGTCAATCACTGGATTGTCTGGTCCAGACTCAATTATTTACAGACCGCCGTCATATAGCTGTAATATTGCTGAGTGTGGCGTTAAACAACAAACAAACAAAAACAAACTGTACTAGGATAGACATTACTAATCATCACACGTTTTCACTTAGCCTGACATATATTTGTTGTAGGTAGGTGACAATATTCCGGGGCATAAAGGAGCCCTAAGACTCAGATATAGACAGACCCTGCCAGAAATACCTTCTGTGGACTAGAATGAGTAAATGTTATGCGAGACATCTGTTTCCGGGCCATCTCCTCCTCCGTGTCAGTGTCGTAGTCACTAGCCGATGTACTCTCTTCCTCTTCCTCCTCGTCACTTTCCGTGTCACTCCCATCATGCCTTGCTTCATCTGCCCACGACACCCGACGCTGCTGCTCTGCTGGGGGAGGACTAGGTTGTCTCCCTTTGGTTGTGACACCTGCCTCTTCCACATCGTTGTCCATTCTGAGGAAACAAATTCAGGATTATGTAGAACAGAGAAACAAATTTACGCTTATAGAACTGCCAAACAACCTTAGGAAATTCCTGGCATGACATCTGAACCAGCAGATCTGAATAATCCGTGCAATGGGTTGAAGATTTGCTCATGGGCACACAGATGACTTCACATTGAGCATACACTCTGCACGACGTCAAAACTCCTCCACTCTGACCCAATGGATTTTCAGTTGCACGCAAAAGCTGGTGTCCATGCAATTTTTTTCTGAAACTTTTCCAGCAGTAGCATTTGTTGATATAGTCATATCATTGTAAAATACACCAATTAGATATGTTAGCTCAAGGTGAGGTGAAATGGGATTTAACGTCGTGTCCAAGGTTATTGCACTTATATAGCGACGTGCATGCACGTGTTTGTGTGCGTGGCTGCTTGTACTAGTTCGGATTGATGCCAATTTATGGTGCTAGCTCACTGAGATACCATGCCGCGGTTTAACATGAATACCCCACTCAGACACAGTATACTGACTCCGAGCCGACCAGTCCTTGTTTTAGCCCCTTAATGCCGAGCACCAGACAGGGTAACAAAAAGTACCATATTTTAATGCCTTTTGGTATGACCCTGGACCTTCCCTCTTTGGGCGGATGCTCTACCACTAGACCATGATGGCAGTCCTGTTAGTTCAAAAATCATCTAAAGAGGCAGAATGCTTACTTGTCAAACTCATGCTGTTCTGCTTCTAGCTTCTCGAGTTCGTCCAACCTCGCCCACAACGCCTCATCACTCACTGGCTCATCTTTCTTCTCAGGCTTTGGTGTAGATTTGTCCTTTTTCAACTTTTCTCGATAAACTCGAACATTCTTCTTATGTTGCACTACAACATAAATTCATTACAAAATCATGAATACAACACAACTGGTCTTCAGCAACCCATGCTTGTCATTAGAGTCGACTAACGGGATCGGTGGTTAGGCTCGCTGACTTGGTTGATGCATGTCATTGTATCCTAATTGCATGGATCGATGTTCATGACGATCACTGACTTGTCTGGTCCAGACTTAACATTTACAGACCACCATCCTCTAGTTGGAATATTACAGTGCGGCTTTAGAAGGGCACTGAAATCTAGAATGTTTGTTGATTTTGTTTCTCTCCTAATGGTTAATCTGGACCCACCGTAAATTGTTCTCCTTGTGAACTAAGATATGTGTAGTGTGTGACCACATTACTGTCACTAGCCACTGGAGATGATTCCACTAAACAACAAACAGTTCAACTTTAGGCACATACACGCAATGGAGACATGGTGTGAAGAGTTATGTCCCCTTGACCACACAGTGGGGGAGCATGCAGACATTTTATGTCTCTTCAAGTAATGATGCCGCATTAAGTATGTTTTTTAAGGAACATACATCAAGCTTTCAATGCTAACAATGAAAAACATGTCCGTTCCTCAAAAGAAAGTGACCACAAATGTAATACAACACATAGAAGACACAGTAAGTAATGGGGATGGATATTGGAGGTTTAAAGTGTATCACAATATTTTGCGATGCACAAGGATGTATCGCGATACGTATCACAATATATTGTTTAATTATAAATTTTGAATTCAGCAGCAATCTGATACATTAAGGTATGAGTTGAAGTTTATAAATTGAACAAAACAAGATGCTGGTACAATATGATGTTTACTCAGTCAATAAATACGCATCCATCTTGGAAAGAATGAACCTCAATTTACCAATATACCGATAATACCTCACACCCTTAGTAAATAAAAAAGGCATATGTTACCTCTCCATTCTTTTTCTGTGTCAGAATCATACTTTTCTACAATTTCCTTTATGTCTGAGGAGCCCTGAAAAGAGTTGAAACTATTACTGGCACTATTCACATTCCAGGGTTTTACCAGCATTTTTCATTTCAATTTTTCACACAAAATACACGATACAGATGAGTAATAAAGATTAGTAGTTTCATTTTGCACCAAGTGTATTTCATTGACTATTAACCATCATCACCAAAACAATGTTGCAGTGATCTTTTGTAACCCATGGTTACAATCAGCTTGGCATCAGTCAACACTAGATCCACACAGCTTAGCAGGAGTGCAACACGCACATTTCTTAGCCAAAGATCATGTCATACAAGAAGGATCCTGTTCACCTGAGCCATGTCCTTCAGTGAACACCTGTACACTCACCTGAGCTATGTCCTCCTGTGAACACCTGTACACTCACCTGAGCTATGTCCTTCAGTGAACACCTGTACACTCACCTGAGCCATGTCCTCCAGTGAACACCTGTACACTCACCTGAGCCATGTCCTCCTGTGAACACCTGTTCACTCACCTGAGCTATGTCCTTCAGTGAACACCTGTACACTCACCTGAGCTATGTCCTTCAGTGAACACCTGTACACTCACCTGAGCCATGTCCTCCAGTGAACACCTGTACACTCACCTGAGCCATGTCCTCCAGTGAACACCTGTACACTCACCTGAGCCATGTCCTCCTGTGAACACCTGTACACTCACCTGAGCCATGTCCTCCAGTGAACACCTGTACACTCACCTGAGCCATGTCCTCCTGTGAACACCTGTACACTCACCTGAGCCATGTCCTCCTGTGAACACCTGTACACTCACCTGAGCCATGTCCTCCTGTGAACACCTGTACACTCACCTGAGCCATGTCCTCCAGTGAACACCTGTACACTCACCTGAGCCATGTCCTCCTGTGAACACCTGTACACTCACCTGAGCCATGTCCTCCTGTGAACACCTGTACACTCACCTGAGCCATGTCCTCCTGTGAACACCTGTTCACTCACCTGAGCTATGTCCTTCAGTGAACACCTGTACACTCACCTGAGCTATGTCCTCCTGTGAACACCTGTACACTCACCTGAGCCATGTCCTCCTGTGAACACCTGTACACTCACCTGAGCCATGTCCTCCTGTGAACACCTGTACACTCACCTGAGCTATGTCCTCCTGTGAACACCTGTACACTCACCTGAGCTATGTCCTCCTGTGAACACCTGTACACTCACCTGAGCCATGTCCTCCTGTGAACACCTGTACACTCACCTGAGCTATGTCCTCCTGTGAACACCTGTACACTCACCTGAGCTATGTCCTCCTGTGAAAACCTGTTCACTCACCTGAGCTATGTCCTCCAGTGAACACCTGTACACTCACCTGAGCTATGTCCTCCTGTGAACACCTGTACACTCACCTGAGCTATGTCCTCCTGTGAACACCTGTTCACTCACCTGAGCCATGTCCTCCAGTGAACACCTGTACACTCACCTGAGCCATGTCCTCCTGTGAACACCTGTTCACTCACCTGAGCCATGTCCTCCAGTGAACACCTCTACACTCACCTGAGCCATGTCCTCCAGTGAACACCTGTACACTCACCTGAGCCATGTCCTCCAGTGAACACCTGTTCACTCACCTGAGCAATGTCCTTCAGTGAACACTCACCTGAGCCATGTCCTCCAGTCAACACCTGTACACTAATCTGACTCAAGGCACCCAGTAAACACATGACACCCACATAAGCGAAGGTGAAATGTTTTTTAATCTTGCATGCAAGTTTAGTGCACATACAGTCAAACCTCATTTTCTCAAACACCATTATCTCGAATGTACCGATATCTTGGACCTATTCTCTGGTCCCGACCGCCTCACTATATAAATACATATAAATTGTGCCCGCTTATCTCGAATTCGAGACACAAAATACATAGTGATTGCCACTATGCCTAATAAGGCACATGTACACTGTATATAATTTGTCACAACTATAAATTTATTAATCATTGCCGCCAAAATACATTTCAATTTGTCATCGCATTCAAGTGTTGTTTTCTTAATTTTTGGTGTATGCAATCGTATTGCTATGGATCAATAACTCTTGCATGATCTGTCTGGATGTTCAGGCCTTGTTATCTTGATTGTGTGGATATCTAGAAGTTACAACACGGTCCTGCTAGGTTCGAGAGAACAGGGTTCGACCGTATATAGTGAGGTGCATTCATTCTTGTTTTATTCTTCAGTGCTGAATGCCAGGCAGGACAACATCAAGTACCATCTGTCATAGTCTGTTTGTATGACATGGCTGGGGATTAAACCACCAGACAGACGCTCTATCAACTTCACTTCAGAGGTGGTGTCCAGTGAACACCTGTATCCCCGTCATGGGTTTTCCAACACTAAAGAAACATTCGTAATTTTCTTGTTGATCACAAGAACAACTGAAAAACCTCTCTTTCACTTACAAAAGACGACATTATTTTAAAAACATGCCTTCATTTTAGTATTTACATTGTCTGTGTGTGACGCCACACCTTTTGTTATAGCATGAGTAATCGCGATAACCATGTCCATCCGAAAAAATTTGATGTCCGAAAATGAATGATGTCCGAAAACATGATCCCACCTGAGCCATGTCCTCCAGCTCCTGTGTGAACACCTGGCGTGGTGTCAACAGTCTCTTCTCCTCCCTCAACTTCTCCAGGTTCTCCTCCACGGCTGCAACAAACGTGTTTTCTTACTCCATTATTCATGTTTTTTAATATATGGTTGGTTGGATGGTTTGTTGTTTAACACTGCACTCAGCAATATTCCAGCTATATGACGGCGGTCTGTAAATAATCAAGTCTGGACCAGACAATCCAGTGATTAATATCATGATCATCGACCCACGCAATTGGGATCAATGACATGCAAATCAGCGAGCCTGATCACCCAATCCCGTTAGTCGCCTTTTACGACAAGCGTAGTCACCTTTCAAAAACCGCAAGCATATGTTGATTTATTCATGGTTTGATGGTGCTGATTTTAGGCCATATGTGGATTCTAGTGGGATCTTTACGTAACACATAGATAACAGATACAGTAAAAAAAAAAGATTCATTCCATGTGCAGTTATCTACCTTTGATCCTCCTGGAGACAATTTCTGCAGCTTGTTTGGCCGATCTCTCCACAAACCAGTTGTCTCCAAGCAGCACCATCACCTCATTAGTGTGGACCAGTCGGCCAGGCATGAAGGCCAGGGAACCAAAGGGCACCTGCCAACATTCAACAATTTCGTGAACAGTGAACCTAAACATGGTTGACTTACACGTTGTCTCTGAAATGAAAATATTGTGAGAACTCTTGGGTTTTTTTCTTTCTTTACATATATAACAGGGAGGAGCCCAGAGAATCAACTCATTAAATGAAGAAATCTAGACTTGCCAAATGAATTGTAGACTTGCTTGGGGATTTCGGTTAGTTTTGTTTCAGGGTCTGTATGACACAAGATAAAGATGAAACTTTTCCCCAAAGTCGAAACTAAGATTTAAACAATTAAACAATTAAACAATTGTCTGCATTGTCTGCAATAAAACAACACATCAGATCAGCTGCATCCACTTAGCAAGGAATAGTGCTTTCCTGACATCAATTCAACGCTGACAAAACATTTCATGGAGTTATCTCCCTTACACAGAAGCCCATTTTTTTTTACAAGGCTGTCCCAAAGGACAGTCTATCTCCTCTGCAGTTGAAACATGACAATGGCTATCTAAACACATGTATACACTTCCTCAAGCAACTTGTACATACTGTATCACCGAACAATGACTGTAACATATTAACAAGTACCAATTTGATTCTTTCCACATCTTCTATAAACCAATGATCATTAACAACTGAGTGATATTGATCAACAACTTATCAAACATATTGAAAAATATGCACATCCTAAGTGATTCAGATTGCAAGGGGCCCCTAAACGACGGACCTGCCAGTTATTAAAATTATGTGTCCCTTATTTCAGAAACTTGGAGCATCGTTTTAACATGGATATTAATGGGGTAATCAGTCATAATCCCGTTTTTACGAGATGCACAAATGTAGAGAATTGACAAAGAATAAAATTATTGTGTAAAATAAAATTACTTATACCAACAACACACCGTTAGTTCATCCATCATTCATGACCACTGTCCACATGATCATTGATTCATTCCAGGCTCTAAAGTAATTATCTAAATGCTCAGTACACAACACCATTTCAGTACTTTACAGGACCTTCATATTGCCTGCAAGGACCCTTAAAATTGATAATTGGGGGTTCCCTGGACCCCCACTTTTGTAAGTCAAGGTAAACCTGATAATAAACACCTGTAAAGAGCTAAGTAACCCTTAAGCATTATGGGTAATTCCATATATGCAGCTGTGTCTATAGTCATAAATGACCGTCTCCGTGGTCTAGTGGTAGAGCGTCCGCCCGTAGAGTGGAAGGTCCGGGGTTCGATCCCTGACTGCGTCATACCAAAAGACGTTAAAAGATGGTACTTGTTGTTAACCTGTCTGGCGCTCGGCATTAAGGGGCTAAAACAAGGACTGGTCGGCTCAGAGTCAGTATAATGTGTCTGAGTGGGGTATTCATGTTAAACTGCAGCATGGTATCTCAGTGTGCTAGCACTATAAATCGGCATCAGTCCGGTCTAGTACAAGCAGCCACACACACACACGTGCATGCACGTCGCTATATAAGTACAATAATCTTGGACACGACGTTAAACCCCATTTCACCTCACCTATAGTCATAAATACCCTGAGTAAGTTGCTTGATCACAAAAGAGAGCGAGCCTAATAGTGTTCTCACTATTGGGGCAAGTACATGTTTCAGGTTAGGTTACATCCCTGTAACCATGGTAACTGGGATCTGTGCATACCATGACGTCATGTTCCACTTTGTCTGGGAGAGTCCTGAGTCTCCGGTGTAGGGCTTCATAGTCTGACTGGTACTGCTGCCTAGGGATAACAATATACATGTCCAGTACGCACAAATGTTGAGAATGGACGCAGACAAAGAAAATACTGAGTGATGCACAATAATATTCTTTGTACCTGGTCAATGTCAAAAATACCCCCCCTGCCCGACAGTCCGAGATGGTCTATTTTGCTGACGGACGGTCAGTTTTAGAAAGTTGTTAGCCCGATGGTCAGGCTAGTATTGTATTCCCTAAATAACCTAAGCATTCTAGTTCAGTCCAATGTAAGAGGTAATTTAACTGTAAAAGTTCAAACACATTGCTGATGAATAAAATTTCAAAGAGTTAAAGTTACTAAGTTGACAATCCATCAGTTTATTGTTATTTTCTGAGAACTAACATTTAAACAGTACTATTCTCATGTTTAAGCTTTTGTTACTTTTGTTCGTTCGTCTATCAAATTCTGGATTGGCAACAATTCATATGACCTGGTAACTTTGTCCGTTTGTCTGAAGAATTTAGGAATCTGGGAATTTTATACACTGCTACAGAGCATCAAGAGTAGTTACGGGTGTCTGTCAATTCCTCCATCAATCATGACCATAACCATGATTTTTAGAAATGTACCCCAAATTCGTCATGACAACATTGTTTTCATTATTATTTCGCCTCCCAGTTCTTGGCATATCACCAAAGAAAATTCATAAATCTTTCCAAATTGAGTTTTACACTGTAACACATGCATACCCTTGTTTGACACTTACCATTGTGCTATTTTATTCTCTGTCTCCTCTATAGCTTTATCTTGCTCTTGTCGTAGCCTTGCCAGATGAGTTGCCTCCATACTCGACTGATCTTGTCATGGGAGGCTGGAAGATGCTGAACAAAAGGTAGAGGGTTTGGGTAAACTTAAAATATTCATAACCACAAATGTTATTGTTGATATGGTAATCAAAATGGGAAATCAAAACAGCCAATGACAAAATGGCAATCTAAATCAAAATCAAAACAGTAACAATAATTATCAAAATAAGTAATTGGCCCTATGTAAATTTTTCAAATGAATACGACTTTCAATCATTGGTCATAAAGTGATATTAAACCAGAGCTAGAGACCATGATTAGAATGTACAACTGCAAAAAGAACAAGATTTAAGTGTGACTCACAAATCCTTGTTCAATGCATTGTTATATTTACTGATGTTGAATGCATTGTTATATTTACTGATGGACCTGTGAAGATACGGGGTAGAATAGGTCTTTAGCAACCCCCATGCTTCCCGTAAAAGGCAACTATGGTTGTCGTAAAAGACAACTAACGGGGTCGGTTGGTCATGCTCGCTGACTTGGTTGATGCATGTCATTGATCTCACTTGCGTGGGCCAAGACTCATGATGTCAATCACTGGATTGTCTGGTCCAGACTCGATTATTTTACAGACTGTTGTCATATAGCTGGAATATTGCTGAGTGCGGCGTTAAAGAACAAACAAACAAAATTTACTGATGACAGGTTTAGGCAACATTGTGCCTTGATTATCAGTGGATTTTGTATCTTTTTTCAGCTCCATATTTACACACTGACACTGATATAAATGGTGAGTGTTAAGAAAGTAAACTCAAAGGGAAAGTGATTCCCTACTTGTCCTCAGTTCGACTTTTGCAACAGCCAAAACTGACCATGCGTCCACTCAAATCCCGTGCCTCAAAGGGTCACTCGAGGAGTCAATGAAACTGCAATCATGATCGTCAAAATCTCATTGACAACTGCAAATCCGAACTCACCAATAGTTTGCAAGTGAAAACATACATATGCTATGGGTGTTTGTGTTATATTCGCTTGTCAGCATATATTTATTAAAGAAAGCCTTTACCCACCAAAGCACGTCTGAATCGTAAACAGGAAGTACCATTCGCACGTGGTTACTTATATTTTACGGACGGACCTATTCCGCGCAGATCCAGGTTTAATTGTTTGACAGTTGTCGTGATTTTATATAAAATGTGGAAATGTCTTATGATATCGGCATATATAAGATATAAAAGTATTTCACTTTCCTAAAATTATTGTCATTTGCGGATACATAATGGAATGATAACATGCAATGATGTTCCGGTTTATTCCTTATTTTAAAATCATATTCATTTCCGTTTGAATTTATCGCTTACAACCATTTCAAATATCAACAAATGTCAAATTTACAATGAGATAACGTTTCTTTTGTAAATATAGTTTAACATATTTTATTTTACATTTATTGGAAATTGTTTACACATATAGTGTAATTTTTAGAGGATAATTTGAATTGACATTGTTTATAAGCGATATTTAAGCATGGCCTCCGCAAGATATGGAAGTTTACTGTGCCGTGCATCAAATTGTGTAAATAATTGCCTTCTGAAGGAAAATGTGTCAATTTCAAGGTATTGGTCAACGTCTTATAAATCCGTCCATCTTGAAGATGCGGAATTTTTTTAACCGTCGATATTTTGTGGATAAACACGATTCTTTGTTGAGTCTTGACCCAAAACATGCCACTTTTCGGTATTCAGGGGAGGAACATAGGTACCCAGTCACCCATGCGTGTCGTAAGATGCGACTTACGGGATCGGGTGATCGAGCTCGCTCACATGGTTGATGCATGTGTAGCGGCCATAAAATTTCCGAGTCCCGTGATGGGATTCGAACCACGGACCTTCTGATCAGAGGTCGGACGCCTTGTCCACATGACCAAAGAGGTTCACCCCGTCAGCAATCTGACATGGTAAGGATGTCATCTTTGGGATGACTCCACGCCCTGCAACACATGTCATCGTATCCTAAGTGCCTAGAACGATGCTCATGATGTCAGTCACTGGATTGTCTGCAGACTTCATTATTTTCAGACCACAGCCATATAGCTGGAATATTGCTGAGCAAGCTGAGTGTGGCATTAGACAACCAACATACTCACACTTAGGCATTAGTTCAACTATTACCATGTTTATAACTCTAAGAGACATAAGCATGATTAGGTACCCTGGATTTAATATTGTATGGTTAAAATCAATGTATGTCATTACTTGCGGCTGATGATATTTGATTGATTTAGGTTGTTTTGTTTCTGTTAGCTATCCCATTTGAATCCTACCACAAATCCATAGGGATCCCGGGTTAGAATAAGTCCTCAGTACCTTCCAAAATACTACATAATATTAAATCTAATAAACATGATAAATGTAATAAATCCTTCAATGTATACCTTGCAACAATTATATTTTTTGTAGTTGTAAACTGTCTGGGGATTCAGGCTTAGAATAGGTCACCAACAACCTATGCTTGTTGTTAGAGGCAAAACAATTCTATGGCGTGGTTGGTTTTTATGACTTGGTGTATTCCCGGAATCCGTGTTATTGTATCCCGATAGAGCAGGACATTCATTCTTTCAGTTACTGATTTGCCTTGCTGGTAGTCGATTGTTTACATGGTCACCAAGGTGAACATTTTTAGTCCACTCATCCTTATGATGATTACATATAGCAAGACCTGTACAGGTGGCAAATATCTACTAGTCCTTATGATACTACAACTAGTTTGGCAAAGAATATTGGAAAAGTACCCCAATTTCTATCACTGGTGATCTGTTTGGAGTGTTTCGCTAAACAAACAAACTGAATCCTACCATAAATCAAACATAACATTTGTTCTCGTGTTTGCCAGAGTCCTTGTGAATCATCAACCAGCAAGAGGACGGAAACGTACATCCGTTCCACCAGCCTGGTTTGTTCAAGTGGAACCAAGACAACGAAGCCGAGATTTGACCCGAGAAAACAGGGACTTCCTGCAAGAGTTGGCTGTAGATGTGTTCAAAACCAGCAGAAGTCCACTCCGAGACGAGCCCTGGGATCGGGAAGAGTACACAAAAAGGTAAATAGCATCTATAGTGGAGTAAGTGAACTTGGAAACAGAGTTTCACTAAAAACAAAATGTGGCAGCTTCATGTTGGTGGAAAACTGGAAATGGTACAAGTCATGGATGTTTAACACTTTGTTAAATGCCACAAACCAGGATATGATACTGGAATATCAAGCAAGGATTAATAAGGGGTTATCCAGGGGTCATCAGAGCGAGAGTGCTGCAAACATGGACATTAAAGCCAAAGGGTTCCTTGTCAGAATCCTACACCAATGTTAATACTTTTTGTTTTGTTTGTTGTTTAACTCTGTACTCAGCAATATTCCAGCTGTACGACAGCAGTCTGTAAATAATCGAGTCTGGACCAGACAATCCAGTGACAATCAACCTGATCAACCGATCCCGTTAGTCGCCTCTTACAACAAGCATGGGTTGCTGAAGACCAATTCTAACCCGGATCTTCACGGGACAATGTTAATACTGTGTAATGATGAAGAGGTCAGATTCAGTTAATGTGGCAGGAAGCTTCAATGACTCCATAAATTTCTAACGCCGAAAACAATGTCATGATCATCATGATACGCTGAAAAAAAGTTTTTCAATGTTTGCCAAAACTTTGAAGAAAGGAACTTCTAAATTGTATTGATGGTATTGGTAATGTTAATTGTTATTTCAATTCCATAAGTTTGTGGACATATGTTTCAGGACTTTCCGGACAGGTGTTTTGGCATTGAAGATAGGAGTGGTACCCCAGTGGACTACAGATGGACAGAAGATATTCACCACCATGCTACAGGTGATCTCTTTGGGTGTTTAGGTGACACCTTTTTCTTGGTTTACCAACAAACTGGAGACAAAATACACAATCATAAAATATTAATAGAAGCTAAATCTGAGCACACACAATAATGTGGATGGATGCCCTGAGGCCTATACCGCGATTCGCTGTGTAGAGTTGCTTCCCTTGGGCATGCATAAAAACCTATGAATTTGGGTTCGAATCCTGGTTCGCCCCGATTTTGTGTCTAGGTTTGTCACCACCATACCCGTGCTCGTGGGTTTCACTGAAGTGGTAAACATGTGAGACCTGCATCACTTGGGCTTTCCTCCCACATTAAGCTGACACGCCGTGATATAACTGGAATACTGTTAAAAGTGGCGTTAAACCCAACTCACTCACTCACCTATGGCCTGTAAAAATACATTTTCTAGCATTTCGATGGAGTCAAGCCAGTGTCAGAAGGTAGAGCGGATGGAAGTGAGGTAGCCAAGTGGTCAAAGCATTCACTCCAGCTGATTTTGGGCGGTGGGGTAGCCTAGTGGTTAAAGCTTTCACACCAGCTCATACCAGAGCTCCAGATAAGCTTTTGGTGTTGTGGGTATTTTACCCATGCATTTTAAAATCATTGGGTATCAGTTATTCTATCTGGGTATTCAAATTTCTGTTACCCACTAGTTTTTACACATGTGGGTATTTAAGTTAAATATTTAAAAACACTATTCATCTAGTCCCTGCAAACTGGTGTCGTGTGGGTTCGAGGGCTTTATAGGACTCAAAAATACCACGATACTTCCACAAGAAAGTGTGATGGCAAATGATCATGATGTAACTGTCATCTTGGAGTTTGGCAAGGTCGACGGAATGTCTGTTTATAATTTCAAAATAAGTTGCTGATTTGCTAATCGAATACGCAGGGTTACTTCACAATATTTTGATGATACGCACAAGTTTTATTTTTGTAGCGTATCTGTAATGTTCGTTGCGTATTTGATACGCTTGGATTTTATTTTACTGCGTATTTCTGCATTTCTGATGTGTATTTTACGCAGATACTCAGCTTATTTGGAGCTCTGTCATACATGGGGAAACAAAGTAGTTTCCAGAAGGGCTGTGACACCACGCCTACCTCACGTATCGACACACATCTCAACACATATCGTGATACTTCAGTCACATTACGTCCTGTGATAATTAAGTTGGAGAGTTTTTGTGTTCCATGTAGCCCACCGGCTAAAGAGAGATAGGTTTCCATCGACCAGTTTCTGCTAAACCTTCAGGGCTGGTTCATTTTTTGTGTCATGCAATCAGATTTAGCATTTGTTTCATATGCCAACATGGTCATTATGATGGTTAGAGACAAAGTGTGTTGGAGAATTAGGAACCAGAACTCGGTTTATTTTTATGCCTTTGTAGATGATTGCCTCTGTGGTCTTGTGGTAGAGCGTCCGCCCAGAGAGAGGAAGGTCCGGGGTTCGATCCCCGGCCGCGTTAAACCAAAAGATGTTAAAAGATTGTACTTGTTGTTACCCTTTCTGGAGCTCGGCATTAAGGGACTAAAACAAGGACTGGTCGGCTCGGAGTCAGTATAATGTGTCTGAGTGGGGTATTCATGTTAAACTGCAGTATGGTCAGTGGGCTAGCACTATAAATCAGCATCAGTCCTGACTAGTACAAGCTGCCACACGTACATGCATGTCGCTATATAAGTGCAATAACCTTGGACGCGGTTTTAAACCCCATTTCACCTCACATCACCTCGGTAGATGTAGACCTTTAATAGCCTCCTCACAAATATTGAGAAACAAAAATATTTTGTTGACAATTCATTATCAACATAAGTTGGAACTCTATATATTGCACCTTGCGTTGATAAAATTTACACTTAATAATGTTTTTGCTTGATTTTAGCAATCTAGGCACAGGTGAATGTTCCCTTCCATTCATTCTGACCATTAGGATTATCTTTGTATTATTGTCATGTACAAATTATTTCTCTGCATGTGGTATCGTGCAAGTCTGGACTTAGGTGTACTGTCCCAACCTTAATGTATGTAATTTGACCAGGTACTTGACAACCATGTGATCCGCTACACGCCTCCAGAAAAATACCAGGTTTCCGCTGGATGGAAGCCATGGAGGAAGAACAAGTATGGTGTCGTTGTTGTCGGCGCTCTCAGCTGTGATCCCAGTGAGGTACTGCACGTCTCATTTGCACTTGTCAAGTATTGTGTCATGTATTGTGTCAGATATATGTATGGTTATATAATAATAATAATAATAATAATAATAATAGGCCATTTATATTGCACATATTTCCAGACCACTCAGGGGCATGCTCAAAGCACTATTTTTACCCCTGTCATTGGATCAGTGTGCACTCAAAATTCATTCTCAGCTCCCTGGGGAGTATACAACCCAAGCTGCCTGTGAGGTGCTGGAAGGTTAACAACCACATTGCCATCTCATCCTCCTGGGTACCCATTCACTGCTGGGTGAACAGAGGCACATTTCGAACAAAGTCACTTGCCAAAGGAGATGCGTAGGTTTTGTCATATCTTGAGTGGTAGGATAGCCTAGTGGTTAAAGTGTTAACCCAAAGGCCTGGGTTGGATTCCCAGCCCAGGTACAATGTGTGAAGCCCATTTCTGGTGTCACCTGTTGTGATACTGATGGAATATTGGTAAGAGCGGCACAGATCCATACTCACGCACTACGGCATCTTGAATATTGCTGACTATCGGGGATCGGTTGGTTTGTGTGACCTGGCTGGCTGTGAGTCATCATGCCCTGAGGGTGTTGACAAATGCTCATGATATCAACCATTGGTTTGCTGACTTATTTATTTAGAGGCTGCCATGGTATAGCTGGAATATATCTGACTTCTGCATAGCCTTTAATCCTGTCCAATCTGAAACTCCTACAAAATTTGTAATGCCTGCCCAATTTGGTAGATCAATACTCATGATGTCAATCACTGAATTGTCTGGTCTTCACGGGTCACTCGTTCATGTGAAGCAGCATGCAGGACCAATAGTCTGTATTGTTTTATCCTCAGTTCTCAAAGGACTACAACAACCTGTTCGCAGAGGCAGGTGTCCCACCCAAACGCAGACTCACCAGATTCCTTGTTACAGAAAATGCCAAAGTTCAGCCAGGTATGTAATTGTCCTTCTTGTCATGGTAACACGTTTTGAGCAGGAACAAATATTGTCAAGGAGGAAGCTCAAAAGTTTGATATGAGCTACAAATGTTATTTAGCAGCCCTGGTGGGGCGGTGGGGTAGCCTAGTGGTTAAAGCGTTCGCTTGTCACGCCAAAGACCCGGGTTCGATTCCCGACATGGGTACAATGTGTGAAGCCCATTTCTGGTGTCCCCCGCCGTGATATTCCTGGAATATGACTAAAAGCGGCGTAAAACCATACTCACTCACTAGCAGCCCTGGTTGGATGATCTAAAGGTGACAATAGGCCAAGAAACATGGAAGTAAGTACCTGATCTGTTCTTAAGATAGAATACAACCCCCTGGTCTTGTGGAGAGCGTCTTCCGGTAAACGGAGGGTCGGTGTTTCTATCCCTTGAGGTGTAAAACGATGAGACGTAAAAAGATGGTACTTGCTGTTAACCGTAAGCTTAAGGGGATTAAACAAGGAATGGTCGGCTCGGAGTCAGTATGCTGTGTTGGAGTGGTGTATTCATGTTAAACTGCGGCATGGTATCTCAGTGGGCTAGCACTATATGACACTGTCCGGACTAGTACAAGCAGACTCGCACACACCTATAAGCCTATTCTTGGTTTGGTATTGTTTCAATGCGTAAAACTTCCCTATATAAAAAAGGCTCAGCATTGGAAAATTTTCTCAGATGTTTCTTGTTTACCACCTACCTATTACTGCAGAGTTGCATCCCTTATCTGTACCAGGATCTGCTGATTATGGGTTTGAACTCCAGATTCATTCCAGTTATGATCACTGATCAGTCAGCACCATACCTTTGCTTGTAGATTTCATTAGGGGTCTTCATCAACCCATGCTTGCTGTAACAGGTGATCATGCTTGTCGTATGAGGCGACTAACGGGATCGGGTGGTCAGGCTTTGCTGACTTGGTTGATGCATCTCATCGTATCCTAATTGCATGGATTGATGCTCGTGATGTCAATCTCTGGATTGTCTGGCCCAGACTCAATTATTATAGACTGCCGTCATATAGTTGGAATATTGCTGAGTGCAGCGTTAAACAACAAACAAACAAACAACAACAAAATTTCATCAGAGTGTTAAATGTCTCCAACTGTTTCAGTTCTGGAGCTGACACCTTTGTATAGCTGAGATAGTGTTCAAAGCAGCATTGAACCGAAAATCACTACATATCAGTAAGGGCTGGGACAAGTCCAAATTTACTTCCCCAGTAACGATCCCCTATTAGCCTTCTCTACCTTGGCACCTGCCATAGGTCTCAATAGGGTACCAAATGTCCTATTGAGAATTGCTTCACTGGAGCCCTTGCAAAATTACTTGGATACACATATAAAACGATCTGGTCATGCACATGCTGATGTTGACAGAAGCTGTATCTTTACTCACATATAAAGTCAGAAGGAAAGCGTGCATAGTCAGAAAGAAATGTGAACATTAGTGACTTGTAGTGTAACAATTGAGTTTGACTATTATCATCACTGAACAATATAATTAATTATCATGTGACTAACCACGGGTCCGGGTAGTCCTGTGGGTGTCCGGGTCCTACTCAGGACCCATACGATCCGAGTACCTGAGTTCCTGTCCCAGCCCTGGTATTAGTGCCACAGTGGCTCATGTGCTAACTGGTATATAGATTCCTATTCACTCACTCACCCTTAGTTTGTGGTCTGTTTCAGGGACCCCCTTGAGTGTCATGCACTTCCGAGTTGGGGACTATGTTGACTGCCAGGCAAAAACGTAAGCAAGTAACTACACTTGTCGCAAGAGGTGACTAACGGGATCGGGTGAACAGGCTCGCTGACTTGGTTGATGCATGTCATCGTATCCCAGTTGTGTAGATCAAGGCTCATGATGTCAATCACTGGATTGTCTGGTCCAGACACGATTATTTGCAGACCGCCGTCAAGTAGCTGGAATATCGTTGAGTGCTGCGTTAAACAACAAACAAACGAACAAAAGAGGTTCCCAGTGACCTATGCTCATCGTATGAGGTGGTCAAATGGATCCGTTAGTCAGGCTCCGTGACTGGGTTGATAGAGTTTCCCCGTACCCGATGACGTGGATCGATGCTCACAATATCAATCACAGGATGTCTCTATGTGGTTTGCTCAATAATGTATGATACATTGACAATCTCTGTTTCCCATGTGAATTTTAAAAATAATTATAAAAATGTGAGATTTCTTTTTCTTCCACCCTGTCATGCAAAAAAACCAACTGGAATCAGACTCCAGACTCGATTATTTACAGACCGCCGTCATATAGCTGGAATATTGCTGAGTGCGGCGTTAAAGAAATATTTCCAAAAAATTTGAAAATTAAAAAGTTGTAGTTACTGTATTAAACTTTAGATTATTTTGCTTTCCGGGTAATTCTACCATGACATATTAGAATCCTGCATTCTGATTGGTCTTTGGTGGGTGAGGGTGGTATGAGTCAGATTACCCCAGTGAGAGGTGAACTGACAAGATTGCAACTATTGATGAACTGATGAGATCTCCCCGTTGAGTGATGAGCTGAGAAGATGGTGAAAGTGTCACACACTGCACTACTGTATCTCACTGGTTGTGTTTCAGGGTGGATCACGGGTTCCAGGGGGTTGTGAAGAGATGGGGCTTCAAGGGACAGAGCCAGACCCACGGGGTCACAAAGGCCCACAGACGGATGGGGTCTATAGGAGGTGGTGGGGTAGGTAGCTGAGTTTCAAACATGCACAGAATTCTGCCTGTCCTGGTATACATTTTTTCATATCAACAGGGGAGTAGAAATTGTTTTTTTATTGATATATTTATGGGAAGAGATATAAATTTCACGGAATGTTACCTGTTTTTACTTTATATATGTTTAACATGTTTAAGATTAATTTCTTTTAAAAAACTCTTAACAAAAAAGCGAACAAAATTATGAATCCTACACCTTTTTTTTCAATAGTCATAATATATTATTTATGATATAAGTAGGCTTTACCATGTTTACTTCAAAACAAGAAAGTTACTTAGTTTGACTTGTTGAACGGTTCAATTTCCAATTCCGATTGTAATCCATTTTCAATATTGATTTATTGAAGGAAGCTCTTCGTTATTTACCATAAACACCAATGTGTGGTCTTTTTGCCAGTTAACTCATGTCAATAACCCTTATTATGATGATATTGCAGACTATGATAAAATTGCATTCATGGAGTGACCTTGTGTCTGGAATGGCCCAGTAATGGAGGTTTTTGTTTCCAGGACAAGGGAGGTATCTGGAAGGGCAAGAAGATGCCGGGACACATGGGGAACGACTGGAAAGCTCTCAAGGGCCTCAGGGTGAGACTGTTCAACATCTCTCATCACAGGGAAGGACATTCATTTATAAATGACCCCAGAGCTCCAGATAAGCTGCGTACCTGCGTAAAATACGCATCAGAAATGCAGAAACACGCAGTGAAATAAAATTCAAGCATATCAAATACGCAAAGAAGATTACAGATACGCTACAAAAATAAAACTTGTGCCTATCATCAAAATATTGTGAAGTTACCCTGTGTATTCGATTAGCAAATCAGCAGCTTATGTTGAAATTATATACGGACATTCCGTCAACCTTGCCAAACTCCACGATGACAGTTACATCATGATCATTTGCCATCACACTTTCTTGTGGAAGTATCGCACTATTTTTGAGTCCTATAAAGCTCTCGAACCCACACGACACCAGTTTGCAGGGACTAGATGAATAGTGTTTTTAAATATTTAACTTAAATACCCACATGTGTAAATACTGGTGGGTAACAGAAATTTGAATACCCAGATAGAATTACTGATACCCAATGATTTTAAAATGCATCGGTAAAATACCCACAACACCAAAAGCTTATCTGGAGCTCTGGACCCTTTGGGGATTCTGTGTTGGAATAGGTCTTCAGCAACCCATGCTTGCCGTAAAAGGTGACTATGCTTGTCGTAAGAGGCGACTAACGGGATCAGGTCGTCAGGCTCACTGACTTGGTTGATGCATGTCATCGTATCTCAGTTGTGTAGGTCAAAGCTCATGATGTCTGGTCCAGACACGATTATTTGCAGACCGCCGTCAAGTAGCTGGAATATCGTTGAGTGCTGCGTTAAACAACAAACAAACAAACGAACAAAATAGGTTCCCAGTGACCTATGCTCGTCGTATGAGGTGATCAAAGGGATCCGTTAGTCAGGCTCTGTGACTGGGTTGATAGAGTTTCCTCGTACCTGATGACGTGGATCAATGCTCACAATAACGATCACAGGATGTCTCTATGTGGTTTACTCAAAAATGTATGATACATTGACAATCTCTGTTTCCCATGTGAATTTTAAAAATAATTATAAAAATGTGAGATTTCTTTTTCTTCCACCCTGTCATGCAAAAAAAACCACTGGAATCAGGGACTCCATTTCATCACTTTTCTGGAACAATGTTTCACATTATATTTTGGTTGTTATTTGAGACATTTATATTCACTTATTATATTAAAATGGGGGCGATGGGGTTAAAGTGTTTGCTCATCATTCCAAAGACCCAAGTTAGATTCCCACATGGGTGCTATGTTTGAAGCCCATTTATGGTGTCCCCACCATGATATTGCTGGAATATGCTAAAAGCAGTGTAAAACCATCCTAACTATTATAAAATGGAGACTGTTTGTGTCGAAGTGATGATTAGATAGCCCCACTCCTTCATGTTCGCCATAAAAAGGCGACTATGCTTGTCGTAAGAGGCGACTAATGGGATCAGGTGGTCAGGCTCGCTGACTTGGTTGATGCATGTCATCGTATCCCAATTGTGTAGATCAAGGCTCATGATATCAATCACGGGATTGTCTGGTCCAGAATCGATTATTTTACAGACTGCCACCATATAGCTGGAATATTGCCAAGTGCGGCTTTAAACAAGCAAACAAACAAACACTTATTTTTTCAGATATGGCGAATCAACACAAAGTACAACATCTTGTACGTGCAGAGCTCCTGCATCCCGGGGGAGAACCACACCTTCGTCAGGGTCATGGATACTGTGCTGCCCCTCCGTCAGCCCAGCCAGGATGCCCCGCCCCCAATGCCCACGTGGTTCCCTGAGGACTCCGACCAACCCATCTCGGAGGAGTATTTTCACGACAACCTTTTCAACTTCAAATTACCCTCTATACAGTATGAACCCGAGGAAGAGGTTGTGAAGAAACGATAGACTTTTCAATGTGTGTGTGTGGATGTGTTTATGTGATATGAAGATATTGGTACAAGTGAACATGTACAAACATTAATACGGTTGGACTAATTGTATCAGTGGCGCATTCATCTTCCCGAGGCAAGGGCGTTGACTGACTAAAAGTCCAGTTTCCACCCTTGTCAAACTAGGCTGGAATTCCGGAGTTACATTTTGGCTGGATGAACGAGTCTATGCATAGTCCAATCAAAATCACAGAGCAAACAAGACAACCAGTTCATAAACAACATGGATTTCAACGTGCAGATTTCGGTTGACTGAAGGATTTGCATGTGTACCGACGTGTGGGCGTTGACAGATATTTTGTGAATCTTTTCATGTTTTTAATCAAGGTGCTCACATGATTTGAGGCACTTCTCAAGGTATGACCCGTTTTGTTACAACTTAGGTCTTGATTATCGATCAGATAGTCTTGAATGGGCGCCACCATTATGTATGAAGCAAATGCAAGTGATACGAGAGGTGGAATCTGATATTGGCTAAATAGGAGGGACAAAGAAGGGACATAACTCATAATAGCCACTGGTGGTGCTATGATCGAGCCTGGAAATTCCAGCCTAGTTCGGCAAGGGTGGAAACTGGACTTTTGTAGTCAGGTAACGCCCTTGCCTCAAGAAGATGTGGTGCATTTAACAGTGGGCATGTTTCTTCAGTGGAGGACGACGACGATGACATGAATCCTGCCGCAGACTCACTGGATGGAAGTCAAAGTAGTTCTGACAAACTCACGATCATATACTGATCTTAGAGAGTCATACTGCCATACTGAAGACAGTTGGTTGCTTTTGAACTATTTTAGGCCTACCAAAGAAAACCAGCAGAGAGTAACCAAACTGTGAAATATGTACTCACTTTAAACAGAAATAGCCATCCAAATTTCAAACAAGACACAAATCCTTATGATGTCCACTTTAGGGGAATAAGTCCCTGGCACATTTGTTGCATCTGAATGATCTTCTGTGTTTGGTTCCATTGAAAATGTGACCCTTGAAGATTCCAGGGTAGAATAGGTCTTCAGCAACCGATGGTTGCCATAAAAGGCGACTATGCTTATCGTAAAAGTCGACTAACGGGATCAGGTGGTCAGGCTCGCTGACTTGGTTGATGCAAGTCATCGATCCCAATTGCGTTGATCGATGCTCATTATATCAATCACTGGATTGTCTGGTCCAGACTCGATTATTTTACAGACCGCCGTCATATAGCTGTAATATTGCTGAGTACGGCGTAAAACAACCAACCAACCAACCAACCATTGAAAATGTGGCGAGTTTTAATCATTCCTATGCACACTTTAGGGGGGATTGTATCTTACGTGGTTATTTCTATTTACAATGTGTACTTATTCAATAGTTTGGTTGCTCTCTCCGCTGACTGTCTTTGGTAGGCCTGTTATTAGTGCTATGCTGTACATTGGGGATTGATAGCCAGTAAAGAACAGAATAAATATGGTTTTGTTGTGATTTTATAAGACCCACCATCGCTGTGCAGAGTTGCGTCCCTTGGGCACGCCAGAAACCTATGACTGTGGATTCCAATGGAGTCAGCACCATACCCGTGCTCGTGGGTTTCACATAAGTGGTAAACGTCTGAGACCTGCATCACTTTGGGCTTTCCTCCCACATTAAGCTGACACACCACGATATAACTGGAATAATGTTAAAAGCGGCATTAAACCCAACTCACTCACTCACTAAAAGACCCACCATGCTTCAAGGGTCTAAGTGTCATGTTCACGGCTTTCAACATGACTAGCCGCCTCCGTGGTCTTGTGGTAGAGCGTCCGCTCGGAGAGCGGAAGGTCCGGGGTTCGATCCCCGGCCGTGTCATACCAAAAGACGTTAAAAGATGGTACTTGTTGTTACCCTGTCTGGCACTCGGCATTAAGGGGCTAAAACAAGGACTGGTCGGCTCGGAGTCAGTATACTGTGTCTGAGTGGGGTATTCATGTTAAACTGCGGCATGGTATCTCAGTGAGCTAGCACTATAATTCGGCATCAGTCTGTACTAGTACAAGCAACAACAAAAACACACACACACACACACACACACGCATGCACGTCGCTATATAAGTGCAATAATCTCGGACGCGAGTTAAACCCAATTTCACCTCACCTCACCTTCAACTCATTTTGTTAAACCTCTGACCACCAATACACAACAACAAATAAATTCTCACACTGATTTTATTCAGCAGTGTTTTGAAGAAAATACAGGTTTAAAGACAAGTGTTAAAACTACATATATTTACATGTCACTGGGTCAGTAAGCATTTTACCAGGGGGAAATAACTCCAACTGACCCTGCCACTTTGTTATGTAGTACATTTGAATGGTGTAAATATTAACACAATGTAAATATTCTTAAATGACCCTCACGCAAATGAATCTCCTACATGGATGTTTTTGCAGTACACATGCATTTTACCGGACAACAACCCACCATGTTTGTTCAATGCTACCAAAGTGGCCGCACGCGACATAGCTATTTAAAAAAGCAAGCAGAAAAATGACTGCATGCATTTGTATGGTTTAATATCATTCAACCTGGAAACTGAATATCAAAGCTATGCATAAACATCGAAAAAGGGGACATCAACATCGAAAAAAAGTACTCGAAAATAGATGTTCCACAACAGCGTGCGACGACACAAGCTGTGACATCCATATTATTCAATAACCTTGGTTACCAAATCTAACATTTAAATTTACTTGCAAAAGCTTTTAATTCAAGCTTTTGTGGGGGGCATGCCCACTAAAACCCTGTGTTGTATTAGCAAGGTGTCTTTAAAACTTCGAAACTGATACTTAGGAGCTTGTGCATATTCCTTACCAAAATGACGGAAGGTGTCCAGTAAAATACATTCTTGCCTAAATTGCAACTTTTTGATGGTCATTGGGGCATAATTGCCACATACACCCTCATTCCCAGCATTATACAACATCGTATATCCCATCCCGGGGGGGGGGATTAATAGGTCATGAGAAATCTATCCTTGTCAGATAAGTTGACTGATGGATCAAAGGGTCGTCTTGGTGACTTGATTATTTACAGGCTGCGTTCATATAGCTGGAATATTGCCGAGTGCAGTGTTAAACACCAAACACAGTCTGTGTTTGGTCAGTTCAAGTCTTCTTCTGTGTGAAATGCCAGTGTAGCAATGTAATAATGTCCCCAATGGAGCATACCTAGTGGCACTTAAAAAAAATACATATTCAATTCAAATTGAAATTAAAGCTTAGTTTCCAATTTGTCAACTGGCCTGTTCAATCTGTACATGTAAAAGATAATAATAGATCTACATGTATATCATAAATATGTGTACACATTTGGATGGAATAAAAAAATATCACATTTCTTATCATACATCATTTCAACAACAACAAAAATAAATAAATTATCCCATTCAGACTTGGTGACTGAACTTCAAAACTGAACTCTCCCATCCAAAGACAGGTTTGTATGATTCCTCGTGGTAGCTTCAAGACTTCATACCCCGCTTGTCACAATTGTAACAGAAGTATGTCAATACATATGTCAAGACGTAACTAAAGCAATGATTACTCCCTTGCTTACGGATCCATACCTGGAGATACCTTGGGCAACATCCACCTTAGCCTGTAACCATGCATGCTGTGACAGTGAGTATTAGAAAGAAAGAAAAAACGGCGGTGATGTTTTTTTGTTCCAATGATCATCACATGATGATCTCATGATGCCAAGATGCTGCTGTGTATCCGTGTATCATTTCCATCCTTCAGAAGTTATCACATGGCTTGGACGGTTGTATAATTTATTCTACTGTGAGATATTATTCGTATTGCTTATCTTGGCATGACAGAACTTATAATCTTGGCATCAAATCCGAGATCACCCTGATTATATTTCTTTCTCTGTCATCACCATAGTATTGTTCATGGTCTCACACAAGTAGTAAGCGTCCATGACCTGCAGGCTTTCATCCCACATTACACTGACACGCGTGATAGAACTGGAATACTGTTCAAAGTGGCATTAAACGAAACTCGCTCGCATGTCATGGAGAAACATTTGAAAATGACAAGTAATCCAGGATGACACCAGTGTCGATGGACCCATCACAGGAATGGAGTTTTGAGGAATCGGTGTTATCTACCAAGTACCAAGTAAGTATGGTAAGCACAAGGTATAAGTTTACCACTTACGATGTCATATATACAGTTGAGGTATCCAACAGAGTTAATATGTATCACAGCTTCATGTGGAGTTGATGCACAGACGTCACATCAATCAGTAGTCCTGACAGACATCACACACAGATCAATGGTCCGGCACAGGTATTACATTCAGAGATCTACAGGTAGATGTCATATTCAGAGTGCAATGGTCCTAGGCAGACGTCATATTCAGAGTGCAATGGTCCTAGGCAGAAATCCATGGTGCTAGAAAAACATAACACACATAGTTCAGTAGTCCTACGTTACATCCCGAGATCTGTTGCCTGTACAGACGTCATATTCAGAGTGCAATGGTCCTATGCAGACGTAATAATCAGAAATCCATGGTGCTTGAAAAACATAACATGCATAGTTCAGTAGCCCAATGTAACATCCAGAGATCTGTTGCCTGCACAGACGTCATGGTCCTATGCAGACGTCATATTCAGAAATACATGGTGCTCGAAAGACATTACACACACACACAGTTCCGTATTCCCGACAGGCATCACACACAGATCCGTTCCTGGTCAGCCAAGAGGGCGTTCCTGTTCCTTGTTCTCTAGGAACTGTTGAGACTGTGACTGGACTCTGTGTCCCCGCCCTCCTGAGCTTTCTTCACCAGGTGCAGGAGCAGCATCCGGCCCAGGGGCATGTAGTGGCCGGTCTGAAACACAGACAGCCTGCTTAGTCTAAGTGTAAACTGTGTCTACTGACTACAGGCTGATACCAAGTACCTCACACAGAGTATTATCATACCTCCATGTCAGAAATGTGAGATCCGATTGGTCCACATGATCTTGACAAAATACTATATATCCCACCTTAGAGGGAAATAATTTCTCTTTGGGAGAATAAATTCCTTATACCCTACCACTAACAAGACAATCTGCACGTGGATTTCTGAGGGGCAAAATTAATTCCTTATACCACGCTTCAAACAAAACGCTGCATGCTTTTTCCAAATCAATGAAAGTCACATGACAGCATAAGTTCAATCGAACAGCTGTTTTCTATAATTTTTAATTTGTTTTAATTCTGTTACAATGTCAGGTTAAAACATGTTGGTAAGAGAAATCTATCCTTGTCGGACAAGGTGACTCGATCAATCAAGGGGCCAGTCTTGGTGATTAACAGACGTCACTATAATACGTGACGTCACTTTCTCTACCCTATGATGTCACCTAACAACGGGCTTGATAATGCAAGCAATATGAGGGCATTATCAAGTTACAGTGGCCCGCTCATTTCTGATAACGTGCGGGCGGTTTAATGATAATTCTATGCATTTTACCTAATAAATCTTTGTTGTTGAAGAAAACATCAACAATATTCATATAAGCATATTTTGCGAATGAAGTCAGCTTGGGCATTACCATCAGGGTGTCCCCTTGTCAATTTTTAGTGCAAGGAAATAACATTTGGCTTTGCTTCGAGGTTAAATATATTTTTGTAGTAACTTAAGTCTTGGAATCTTTTAAAAAAAGAGAGAGAAAATTGTGACTGAACTTTGTGTGAATGACGTGTAGATCTAACTAAGTTACCTCAGAGATGACGTCTTTGCATTGAACATGATGTTGAAAGAATAAAAACAAGAGTTTTTTTCATACGTTTTTTGTTTGTTATATGTTGGGACTGAAAAACAATTAAGGGGAACTGGTAATTTTTAGAGTTGAGTCCATGAGGACTGTCAGTTTCCAAAGCCAGCGGGAACACTGTGTCCAGCTACCAGTACAATACCACGGTGGTGAAACACGACAAACCAAAAAGAACCATCATCATGGCAGATTCACGCCCACAGTCCCAGATTTCTGGCATGCTTAAGGGAGGCAACTCTGCACTGAACCTTAATGTCTGCATACCACCACTCATACCTGTGAAGACGAAAACCTACCTGAACATTGAGAATTAATGAGATGTCCCTCATCTTGATGAACTTGCCATGTTCTGCTGGAGTAAACATGTACCGTTTCCCCTTGTACGTTCCGTCGGAATCGCCAACTACAAGATAGCAGACAAACTCTTGCAATGAATGTTATGTTTCTAGGTTTGTGTTCGTGGGTTTCACCGAAACGGTAAACGTCTAAGACCTGCATCTCTTGGGGCTTTCCTCCCACATTAAGCTGACACGCCGTGATATGACTGGAATACTGTTAAAAGCGGCGTTAAACACAACTCCCTCACTCACTCTTGCAATGAATGTCTGGTGACCTTTGGCACTCTATACATCACATGTCTACTGGATAATGTTTCAGATTTGGCCCAATGTATACTATTTACAGCTTACATAGTATTATGATTATGCATGACATTTAGATAAACATATAACTGGAAACTTTTAATTTTAAAGAAACAAGAGAAGATAGAGGCATAGGTTCAGTAGCTCACCTGCCTTATGAAAAAATATTCAGTGAGTGAGTGAGTGAGTATGTTTTTACGCCGCTTTTAGAAATATTCCAGCAATATCATGGCGGCGGACATCAGAAATGGGCTTCACACATTGTACCCATAATATTCAGTGACATGTTAAATTGTATAGGAATTCTGTGAGCACATTTTAGAGACCCCATAGCTGGCATAATTCAATCAAAGTTTCAGCTCCATAAGCTTTGTAGTTTCAGAGATGTTTGTTTGTTTGTTTATTTGTTTGTTTGCTTGTTGTTAAACGCCACACTCAGCAATATTCCAGCTGTATGATGGAGGTCTGTAAATAATCGAGACTGGACTTGACAATCCAGTGATTGATATCATGATCATCGATCCATGCAATTGGGATATGATGACATGCATCAACCAAGTCAGCCAGCCTGACCACCCGATCCCTTTAGTCACCTGTTACGACAAGCACAGTCGCCTGTTATAACAAGCATGGGTTGCTGAAAACCTATTCTACTCCGGATTTTCATGGGTCTTCAGAGATGTAAAAAATGTACTAATACAAGAAAATGTGTCCCTGAAGGTCAAAGGTCACAGCATGATAAAAACTGTATGGTAAAAACATATTGTAAGGTATTCTGCCTACCACATACTTGGTCCATATGATATTTCATAATGATACATGCAGAAATGGCTGAGTCGTGGCCAAATGACATTTTCAATATGTCTACCATAGTGGCCATGTTTAAATCATATGGAAATTCTGTGAGACGCCATACCTGGGATCATTTTTTGTTGTTGGTTTGTTGTTTAACGCAGCACTCAGCAATATTACAGCTATATGACGGCGGTCTGTAAATAATCGAGTCTGGACCAGGAAATCCAGTGATTGACATCATGAGCATCGATCCACGCAGTTGGGATCGATGACATGTATCAACCAAGTCAGCGAGCCTGACCACCATATCCCGTTAGTCGCCTTTTACGACAAGCATAGTCTCCTTTTACGGCAAGTATGGGTTGCTGAAGACCTATTCTACCCCGGAATCTTCACGGGTCGGATCATTCAGAGAAAGTCTCAGCTCCTGAGGGCTTGTAATTTCAGAGGATATGTTGAAAATTTAAGTTAAAGATGCATGGACAACCGGACAAAAAATGATGCACCATTACACTTGACTTTAATCAGGGGAGCCAAAAATTGACTTCTTTTTCACCTTTATCTTTTAAAAAACTACTTTATTATCATATTGTCATATATCAAATATACGATAGTGGTTTAAAAAAACTGTTTCCCATTTTTATATTTTCAACACCTGTTTGTCAACAAGCTATATTTTTTTTAAAGTATTGGCAAGGTGACATGACATCTTACTGGGTTCGTCCAGCTTGAGGCCAGCATACATCCGAGCGTCATAGAACTCCTTGTCCAGGTTTCCTCGGTACTTGACCATGCCGGTGTACACGATCGGCTTCACTGCAAACAACACTTGTAATATTATGGTACCATGCATACATAAATTAAAACTTCCAACTCAATCATCCTACAATCATTTGAGAGTGAGTCAAGTTTTTACAGGCTTTTGTGATGTTGTAGAAATTATTGCCATCTCGGGACATGGAAGGATTTGATTATTTGTGCCGAGACATGATTCAGGTCCTGGATGTTCAGCCATTTTGTGAAACCGACAAGCAACAGTATGATCGTGGCAAACCAAGAATAATAATCATGGTGAAAGTGGGATTCAAACCCACGATCAGAGGAGGACCCAACTCTGCACAACAAAATTGCTACACTTTAGACGATGGGGCTATCCTTGACCTCTATTGTTCTGACAGTAATACTTACAAGATCTTATAACAGAAACGAAAAACAAATTTAGACGTAAAGAAAAAAAGATTATTACGCATGTGTGTTTCTATAATAATAATAATCCTACCATTATATAATGTCATTCTTGAAATACCGTATTCAACGTAATAAGCGCCCAGGGCAAAATTAGAAATAGGGGGCTCTTATTAGGATATCATTTTTGTGGAAAAAACAGTTGAAAGATAAATTTCGTGGTTTATGCTGACAGCCTGACTGTTTATATACGACAGATATGTTTTTCCTGAATTTAATTGCCCATAATTAAGGGTGCATATAACACATGAGTGCGTATTATACACAAATAAATAAGTCTTGTGTACATTGATAAATCGGAAGGGGTGCTAATTGGGATTGTTCATTAGCCAATATATTAGCAAATATCGCCGTGGGCGCTTATTAGAGCAGAGCGCTTATTACATCAAATATGGTAATTGATTTCACTCACTGAAGTAATTACAGAAACTGTGTATGAATAAAATGCTTGAGTAAACCGCCCCTAATATCAAATAGTGCCAAATGAGTTTAAGCCATGTTTGTGTACAGAAACATCCATTTATTGAAAAACACAGATCTAAACTTGGGAGCAGTTGGCAACAGCTAACTGAGCAAGTGGGCACTTAAAGGGCAAGTTCACACGGAAATGAACCTATTTTTCTTGTACTTTTTCCACATTAAAAGTGTTAACATAGAAGTGTCATAGACAAAAATATAAAAATATCACAATTAATTAACATATTTTTCGCATTAAAACGATTTATATTTTTCACATTTACCAAGTGTTCTATTTCCACAACAAAAACACCATGGCTTATGCCCCTTGCAATATGACGTCATTGGTGCCAATTGATAAACATTATGACGTCATCATGCTTTGTTAGAGCCGCTTCACGTGGTGTAGGTCCAGGTGTGTGATTCTAGCGTCTCAGATGCCAGCCAGCATAGTGTTATGCTGAGTCACCACTGCGCCGGAGTGTGTCGTAGGCCATGTTGTTTTACCGCAAACTGGTACTTGATATCTTTTGCGTTGAGAATAGACAGGGACCCAGTTGAATTGGCACCAATTACGTCATAATCTAAGGGGGATAACTCAGGCCTGTTTAGCTCGAAAAACGAAGGCCTCATAACGGCATATCATTTTCACACTATTGTGAGCTTCCTACGTTCACTGTGAAAAAAATGAGGGTATATTTTCAAACACAGATACTAATTAATTCTAAAATTGCGTTTTGTTTAGAAAAAGAAAGAAAGTGATTTTTGCGTGTACACTTCCCCTTTAATTAAAATCGTTCCTACTCGGTACCTCATTTGCATATACATATACATAGCGGACAATTTGACCAATCACCATCGATGCTCCCGTGCTAGCAAAAACTTTACGTTGACATATAATAGTCAAACTATGACAAATATGACTTTCAGCAAGTCAATGTATGGCTAATATATATATCCATTCTCTATCCACTAATGTATGTTTCAAGGCGTCAATAGCGGTAATATGTCCATGGTTGCTGTAAATAACGGCGTGTTGTGCCATCTTCTGATCAATTTCGCCAAAATGAATTTAAACAATATTGAATGAAATTTATAATAAAATTAATAAAATAGATTACAAACATAAGTCCAGATATACAATGAACATATTTTATAATCACACAGTGTAATTACATGATAAGTTTGCGTACTTCAGTACAGATTTGTTGACATGGTATTTCCGGTCTTATGTATTCACAGTAATGTCTTTGTGTTGCAAAAAAAAAACCATCAAAACTCTTCAACCCTGTGTATAAGATGACTCCCCTTGAAAGCCGCCTAATTCTACGTATGAAAAACGCACCTTTTACACAGCGATATACGGTATATCGGACCATGATACCAAGTTTATCACATCGATGACACAATCCATGATAATTTCATGAAATGACAGGCTTCTCCCATACCTTTCTTCCTGCCATACCGGGGAGCTTTCTGCGACACGCTGATGGACACTCGGTCCCCGATGCTGATGACCTCCATCAGCAGCTTGTCCTTGTCCGCGGCCGTCATGTTGGACAGAGCCACCCTCTGCTCATGACTCAACCTCTGCAACAGCTCTGTGTTGTCCGGAACACCCCATCCCGTGTCACTGTCTGAATCCTCCGTTGGAGAACTCAACATGGCCGAATATGGTCGCGTCTGCTTCCGCTTGGATTCCGACACTCCTATACTGTAGTCAAGTGAGGGCTGGAACTTATAACCAGTCCGAGTTTCAGATTTGTATAGGTGTCCATTACACCTGCCTTCGGCGCTTGTGTTTGCAGAAGATCGAAAAGATGTTGACCTTGAACTTGGGGGATGGAACCCTGGATTGTGGAAAGAAGCACTCCTCCTGATGTGGGCTGTTTTTGGTCGGGTGGGCATGTTGCCTCGGTGGTGTTTGGGTCTGTCAAGGAATGGGGATGTTCGCTCGGAGTGATCGGCATGGCCGTTGTCCATGGAGTATGGAGGGACGTTCACGTTGATCATATTCTCCTTGTTGGAATCACTCTGTGGAGTTAAAGTGAGTGAGTGAGTGAGTGAATTTGGTTTCATGTTAGAGTGAATTTGGTTTCATGTTAAGAGTGAGTGAATTGGGTTTCATGTTAAGAGTGAGTGAGTGAATTGGGTTTCATGTTAGAGTGAGTGAGTGAATTGGGTTTCATGTTAGAGTGAGTGAGTGAATTGGGTTTCATGTTAAGAGTGTGTGAGTTAATTTGGTTTCATGTTAGAGTGAGAGTGAATTGGGTTTTTGTTAGAGTGAGTGAATTTGGTTTCATGTTAAGAGTGAGTGAGTGAATTTGGTTTCATGTTAGAGTGAGTGAGTGAATTGGGTTGCATGTTAAGAGTGAGTGAGTGAATTGGGTTTCATGTTAGAGTGAGTGAGTTGCGTTTCATGTTAGAGTGAGTGAGTGAGTTGCGTTTCATGTAAGAGTGAGTGAGTGAATTTGGTTTCATGTTAAGAGTGAGTGAGAGAATTGGGTTTCATGTTAGAGTGAGTGAGTGAGTTGCGTTTCATGTTAGAGTGAGTGAGTGAGTTGCGTTTCATGTTAAGAGTGAGTGAGAGAACTGGGTTTCATGTAAGAGTGAGTGAGTGAATTGAGTTTCATGTTAGAGTGAGTGAGTGAGTTGGGTTTCATGTTAGAGTGAGTGAGTGAGTTGCGTTTCATGTTAGAGTGAGTGAGTGAATTGAGTTTCACGTCAGTAACAATAGAAGACTTTTTCAAATTGACCTAACAAACGGATATCTTCATGAGCAGCACAGCCACAAGTAGAAAGTCAACAGGTCATGACATAAACATGTTGTTTAAAGAGTAAACACAAACGTCCTCCATTTGATATAAGATGGAAATATAAAACCAAATTCTTGCACGATGAACATATAAAGGTGAAATTTGCTTGTGATAGGGAAGATTTGTTTGTTTGTTCAGCGATATTCCAGCCATATGATGACAATCTGTAAATAATCGAATCTGGACCAGACAATCCAGTGATTGACATCATGAGCATCGATCCACTCAACCTGTATACGATGGCATGTATCAACCAAGTCAGCGAGCCTGACCACCTGATCCTGTTAATCGCCTCATACAACAAGCATAGTTGCCTTTAAGGGCAAGCATGGGTTGCTGAAGACCTTTTCTCGGGATCAGGAAGGTGTTGAGTGAGGAAGGCACCCCTGATTAATGTCTAAAATAAACGCTCCCTGGGTGGAGGCTCATCTGTTCACATGGTTACACGACACAAAGACACACTGCTCCATCTTCCTCACATCATTGGCAGGAGTGAGTGAGTGAGTGAGTATGGTTTTACGCCGCTTTTAGCAATATTCCAGCAATATCACGGCGGGGGACACCAGATATGGGCTTCACACATTGTACCCATGTCGGCAATCGAATCCGGGTCTTCGGCGTGACAAGCAAACGCTTTAACCACTAGGCTACCAGACCACCCCTCATTAGCAGGAGTTTACATGATCCTCCGGAACATTAATTGTACAGGAAGGAACCAGATGTCAGGGGACATACGCACCATGTGGGGTGAGGAAGACGGCCTCAGAAGCCCCATACGAGACTTGCTCCCTCCACTGCGATCTGACGTAGCCATGTTGGAGGAAATGGAGGACTCGGCTTGGAGGCTGAAACCAATGCAAATATTAAATTATATTTACATATTTTACTTTGCATTTCTCACATTCAAACGCCTTCTTTTGTTAGTTCAAGTGTCTGAATGTCAAGTCAGTTTATGTCGTGGCCTGGTTGTCCAGCGCGTGTCATCAGTCATAACCATCTCCTCAGAAACGACTGGAGCAACCAATGGTGACACCCCACTGTGTTCAAGAAGTTCTAATCTGATTTTCAATATGGCCGCCATGGCAGAAATGTTGAAAAACATATTTATGGACTTACTCATTTTTTTTCAAAATGGAACAAGTGAGTGAGTGAGTTTTGTTTTACGCCGTTTTTAGCAATATTCCAGCAATATCACAGCGGGGGACACCAGAAATGGGCTTCACACATTGTACCCATGTGGGGATTCAAACCCGGGTCTTCGGCGTGACGAGCGAACGCTTTAACCACTAGGCTACCCGGCCGCCCCCAAAATGGAACAAGAGTTTGCCACTAATGTGGCTATATCCCCCGTCCCTGTTGCAGAATTTATGACATAATTAAATCTAAACTAACCCTAACCTTTTTTGACCGAGATGGAACTTGTCATGGAAATTGTAAAAAAAAGAAGAGTTTGGAACCGAAGTCCATCTTGCTGCAATGGAAACGTAAAAAAAATTAAAAATTTTTTTTTTCTAAATAGCAAAAGGCACCAGTTCAGCATGTACCTGACAGACCTGCAAAGTTTGATGAAAAAATATTGAACGGTTTATGAGTTATGCTCCGGAAACGAAACGTGACGGACGGACGGATGGACGGAGCCCGTTTCTATATCCCCCGCCAACTTTGTTGGGCGGGGGATAATAAATTTGGTACATTTGTAGTTAGTAGTGGTGATCAACATGTATGTTGTTTTGTTGTGATATTTGAATCTTTAGGTTAATTTGACTCTTGCACTTTGACCACACTGAAAGCTAAAAACATTTATGGCCATTTCTGTTAAATAAAAGTAATGAAATTTGGTATACAGGTAGTTTGTAGTGGGGCTCAACATGTATGTTCCGTTATTCACGATGACTAAAATTTTGAGATGTTGTGACCATGCTCTTAAATGCTCTCAAAGACAAATAGGCTCTGTAAAGCTCTTCTCTGGAATTGATAGACTGATTAACTTTGGCATGTTCCTCTTAATGTTGACATCAATTTGTTCATTAGAATTTAATGTTTGGTTTAAGTCTTCAGAATTTATGCAGAAAATCAATGCTGACCCCTTCCATGGTCAAGTCCCCCTCCTCACCTAGTATCCCCCCTCCCCATGTGTGTTCCCTCCTCACCTGGTAGCCCCATCCCTGGGTGTGTCCCCCTCCCCATGTGTGTTCCCTCCTCACCTGGTGTCCCCCTCCCCATGTGTGTTCCCTCCTCACCTGGTAGCCCCATCCCTGGGTGTGTCCCCCTCCCCATGTGTGTTCCCTCCTCACCTGGTGTCCCCCTCCCCACCTGGAAGCCCCCTCCCTGGGCATGTCCCCCTCCTCACCTGGTGTCCCCCTCCCCATGTGTGTCCCCTCCTCACCTGGTAGCCCCTTCCCTGGGCGTGTCCCCCTCCCCATGTGTGTCCCCCTCCTCACCTGGTGTCCCCCTCCTCATGTGTGTCCCCTCCTCACCTGGTGTCCCCCTCCTCATGTGTGTTCCCCTCCCCATGTGTGTCCCCTCCTAACCTGGTGTCCCCCTCCTCACCTTGTGTCCCCCTCCCCATGTGTGTCCCCTCCTCACCTTGTGTCCCCCTCCCCATGTGTGTCCCCTCCTCACCTGGTGTCCCCCTCCTCACCTGGTGTCCCCCTCCCCATGTGTGTCCCCTCCTCACCTGGTGTCCCCCTCCCGGGAAGTGTCCCCCTCCCCATGTGTGTCCCCCTCCTCACCTGGTAGCCCCTTCCCTGGGTGTGTCCCCTCCTCACCTGGTGTCCCCCTCCCCATGAGTGTTCCCTCCTCACCTGGTGTCCCCCTCCCTGGGCGTGTCCCCCTCCCCATGTGTGTCCCCCTCCTCACCTGGTAGCCCCTTCCCTTGGTGTGTCCCCTCCTCACCTGGTAGCCCCTTCCCTTGGTGTGTCCCCTCCTCACCTGGTGTCCCCCTCCCCATGTGTGTCCCCCTCCTCACCTGGTGTCCCCCTCCCCATGTGTGTCCCCTCCTCACCTGGTGTCCCCCTCCCCATGTGTGTCCCCTCCTCACCTGGTGTCCCCCTCCCCATGTGTGTTCCCTCCTCACCTGGTGTCCCCCTCCCCATGTGTGTTCCCTCCTCACCTGGTGTCCCCTCCCCATGTGTGTCCCCTCCTCACCTGGTGTCCCCCTCCTCATGTGTGTCCCCTCCTCACCTGGTAGCCCCATCCCTGGGCGTGTCCCCCTCCCCATGTGTGTTCCCTCCTCACCTGGTGTCCCCTCCCCATGTGTGTCCCCTCCTCACCTGGTGTCCCCCTCCCCATGTGTGTTCCCTCCTCACCTGGTGTCCCCTCCCCATGTGTGTCCCCTCCTCACCTGGTGTCCCCCTCCTCACCTGGTGTCCCCCTCCCCATGTGTGTCCCCTCCTCACCTGGTGTCCCCCTCCTCACCTGGTGTCCCCCTCCCCATGTGTGTCCCCTCCTCACCTGGTGTCCCCCTCCCCATGTGTGTCCCCCTCCTCACCTGGTGTCCCCCTCCCCATGTGTGTTCCCTCCTCACCTGGTGTCCCCCTCCCCATGTGTGTTCCCTCCTCACCTGGTGTCCCCCTCCCCATGTGTGTTCCCTCCTCAGCTGGTGTCCCCCTCCTCACCTGGTGTCCCCTCCTCACCTGGTGTCCCCCTCCCTGGGTGTGTCCCCCTCCCCATGTGTGTCCCCTCCTCACCTGGTGTCCCCCTCCCTGGGCGTGTCCCCCTCCGCATGTGTGTCCCCCTCCTCACCTGGTGTCCCCCTCCCTGGGCGTGTCCCCCTCCCTGCTGGGGTTTGCAGTGCTGCACAGCCTCTCAAGCACCTTCTGTATCCTGCCCAGCTTCTCGGGGTCCACAGAGGATGTGTTCAGAGAGTCAATCACCTCCTGCAACACAGTCAGCAACATGACAGCTTCAGGTCATTCCCACACCACAATGTAACTGAAGTACCCACAGCATTACACCCACCCAACTATCTTGATTTGAGAGGGGTATGAGATGTGTGAGTGAGTGAATGGGTTCAAAACCCAATAGGGAGCATGGGTGGCCCAGTTGTCTAAGGTGCTGCAATTTTGCTGTGCAGAGTTGCATCCCTTGGGATGCCAGAAACATGATCGTGGGTTTGAATCCTGATTTGCCCTGATTATGGTTCTATGTTTTTCAGCACCATACCCGTGCTCGTGGGTTTCACCAAAGTGGTAAACGTCTGAGACCTGCATCACTTTGGGCTTTCCTCCCACATTAATCCGACATGCCGTGATATAACTGGAATACTGTTCAAAGCAGCGTTAAACCCAACTCACTCACTCAAAACCCAATACATCCTTTATTTCAATCCTTGGTTTGTCAGCACCCTAGCTGTGCTCACAAGTGCCCATTGCTTCGGGATTTCCTCCCACATTGATCTGACACGCCATGATGTCAATGAAAAATGCACAGCGTCACACCCAACTCACTCACTCACTCACAAACTATAACATTGATCCGATATGCTAGGATGTAACAGATGTAACCCACAGCATCACACCCCTCACTCACTCACAAACTATAACATTGATCCGATATGCTAGGATGTAACTGATGTAACCCACAGCATCACACCCCTCACTCACACACTATAACATTGATCCAACATGCTAGGATGTAACTGATGTAACCCACAGCATCACACCCCTCACTCACACACTATAACATTGATCCGACATGCTAGGATGTAACTGATGTAACCCACAGCGTCACACCCCTCACTCACTCACTTACTCACACATTATAACATTGATCCGACATGCTAGGATGTAACTGATGTAACCCACAGCGTCACACCCCTCACTCACTCAACACTATAACATTGATCCAACATGCTAAGATGTAACAGATGTAACCCACAGCGTCACACCCCTCACTCACTCACTTACTCACACACTATAACATTGATCCGACATGCTAGGATGTAACTGATGTAACCCACAGTGTCACACCCCTCACTCACTCACACACTATAACATTGATCCGACATGCTAGGATGTAACTGACGTAACCCACAGTGTCACACCCCTCACTCACTCACACACTATAACATTGATCCGACATGCTAGGATGTAACTGATGTAACCCACAGCATCACACCCCTCACTCACTCAACACTATAACATTGATCCAACATGCTAAGATGTAACAGATTTAACCCACAGCGTCACACCCCTCACTCACTCACTCACACACTATAACATTGATCCGACATGCTAGTATGTAACTGATGTAACCCACAGCATCACACCCAACTCACTCACACACTATAACATTGATCCAACATGCTAGGATGTAACAGATGTAACCCACAGCTTCACACCCAACTCACACACTATAACACTGATCCGACATGCTAGGATGTAACAGATGTAACCCACAGTGTCACATCCCTCACACACTATAACACTGATCCGACATGCTAGGATGTAACAGATGTAACCCACAGCGTCACAACCCTCACTCACTCACACACTATAACACTGATCCGACATGCTAGGATGTAACTGATGTAACCCACAGTGTCACACCCAACTCATTCACTCACTCACTCACCCACTATAACATTGATCCGACATGCTGGGATGTAACTGATGTAACCCACAGCATCACACCCAACTCACTCACACACTATAACATTGATCCAACATGCTAGGATGTAACAGATGTAACCCACAGCTTCACACCCAACTCACACACTATAACACTGATCCGACATGCTAGGATGTAACAGATGTAACCCACAGTGTCACATCCCTCACACACTATAACACTGATCCGACATGCTAGGATGTAACAGATGTAACCCACAGCGTCACAACCCTCACTCACTCACACACTATAACACTGATCCGACATGTTAGGATGTAACTGATGTAACCCACAGTGTCACACCCAACTCATTCACTCACTCACTCACCCACTATAACATTGATCCGACATGCTGGGATGTAACTGATGTAACCCACAGCGTCAAACCCCTCACTCACTCACACACTATAACATTGATCCCACATGCTAGGATGTACTATATGTAACCCACAGCGTCACACCCCTCACTCACCTTAGCTAGGTCCAGAGCCTGGCACTTCTGCAAGACCAAGGTGTCTTTGCCAGACATGAGTTTCTTGAGCGTGGACACTTCACACTGGGCCAGCTTCAGCTCCAGGTCCAGGTCCCTGGATGCCTCCAGCTTCTTGTCAGCATCCTGCACAGAGCCAAGACATAAATGTGTTATTTTCTTAAAAGATAGCTACACAATAAATCGCAACGAACAATGAAGAACAAAGAGTGGTTTATTTCACGATAAAGCAGTGTTTCTCATGATGTCATTTCTGGAGATTCGAACATATGCTCGCAATTTGATGACGTTATTTTTGTTTAGTTATGGGAGTGTTTAGTGAGTTGTTCCCCATAGGATAAACGTGGGAAAAGATATAACAATCGGTATTGGGAGAAAAGGTACAGGTAATCGACGTGAGGATGTTGAGAATATGCAATAAAATAGATTTGCTGGACGTTGCCGATGTCGGATTCTATTGAGGACGTCATCATTATTTAAATAGGGGTTAAAATTTATAAATCTTTTTATCAACATCCTTAAAGAGGCTGTTCTTTCTTCCTCCCTCCCCTTGCCTTGTCATTACAACTGTGTCAACTTACCCTGAGCTTATCCTTGTAGTCCCGGACAGCCTTCCTGGCTGCTGTCATCAAGGCTGTTTTTTCCTCCACCTCCTTTACCAACTGTTTGATACGCTTGTCACGATCCAAGATATCATCCTTCAGACGTGGAATCGTCTCAAGGCCCTGAATAGGACAAGTTAGAGTTACTCCTATATCTTCAGCGATTCAGCAGCCAACATCTACAGTTGGCAATACAATGATACACTGAGGGTAGTATTGTTTGTCTGTGTACATCTGTGGTGACACTCATCAAAACATACTCAATAACTGTTATAATGTCTCGTAGATCATGAAATAAGACAAGGCATCTCATAAGATAGAGTGACCTCCTTTACTTTAGCCATGTGGCGTGTCAATACAAAATCCGGAATGGGTTACACATGAAAACATGGATCGCTTACAGGAAGCAGATTTGTGATGATTATTATTATTATTTCAATAATACAGCTTCAACATGTCTGAAAATCCCTTGTGACAATCATCAAAATGCTGCTGTATGACTCAGATGTGTTTGAAAGACCCTCACCTTCTCTATGTTCTCGTTCTTCATGAGTTCATGACGGACCTGCAGCTTGAGATCGTTCATCTTCCTCTCCAGAGTTGAGATCTTCTCATTAGCTGTCTGAAATACACAGTGGTATATCACACTTTATTATGCCTCAAAGGGAGTTTGACCAATCAGAGAGCAGAACTACTAACCCCATATGAGCCCGTGTACCATCAGTAAAAATCCAAGATGGTTGTTACTGACCTAATATGAGACTGTATACCGTCAGTAACAGCCATTTTGGATTTTCCAACACCCAACTCACATATTTCACTTGGATATTCTGGCACAGAAATTTGTTATTCGACACTTTTTTGTGTTTTAATATCATTAATTTTGATGTGCAAGGACATTAATGATTTTTTGGTCTACGTTCATGACTTCAATAAAGATTATATAAAGTTAAAATTATCATCAAGGTTTGGCCTCTGAAGTTTGAAGAGTAGTCTCCCTTTGACCCTTAATGTCTTAGGTTGTAAGCGTTAAGTTTTCATTTTGACATGATATGTGCGATAGGGATACCAGATAGTGTAAGCTTTTTGGCATAATAAGTTTGTTATGGTGTCTTTAGTTGCCGTATACAGTGTCATATTAGGTTAGCAGAAAAATATTTTTCTTCTCACCTAATATGACACCATATTTGGCAACCAAAGACACCATAACTAATAATGTGTGAGTGAGATCTTTTCATTGGCTGTAAATAGTTGAGTCTGACTCAGTGGTTGCTAGCATGAGTGACATGCTACACAGCAATACAATTTTTAATGAAATGAATAATCTGGCCGAAGGAAGGCTACACTCTTTGTCATTCCATCATGATCAGTGACTATACATTGAATAATCTATCAAATATATGACGACATATTTCCCAAAGACTTACATGCAGTTTCATATCTCTTTCTTCGCACTGGGTAACCATTTTTCTAATTTCTGTGTCTTTAGATCGACATTCAGCCCTGAAAGAAACAATTTGATACTGAATCTACAAGAAGATGAAAGACACTTGACATTTTCCCCCATTCAAGATGCTGATTTAATCAAGGACGTATGTGTGATTGATTCAGACATTTTTAAGAGATCTTTCAGGGGCACGGGTGGCCCATTTGTCTAAGGTAACACAAATTGCTGTGCAGAGTTGCATCCCTTCGGCATGCCAGAAATCTATGACTGTGGGCTCAAACTGGGTGAGGTCACACAGTATGACATATAAGGTGCTGTTCACTTCTCTCTTTACACATAGCCATAAGTAAATTAACAATTTATAACACACACACAAAAACTTCTCCAACTCACACTGATGCCTCGAGATTCTTCCTTGTAGACTCCAGAGTCAACTCTGCCTTCTCTACCTCAGATGCTGTGGAAAGTCAGAGACATGTTTATAATGTTAGAACCCAGCGAACCTATCGTCTCAGTGAGGTTCACATTCTGGGGAGAACCTAGGACCAACCATTTTATTTAGTGGGAGGGGCCTGTGACTTGTTAAAAAAATGTTCCAGAAAATACAGGAAAAAATAATTTTCTTTAGTGGGAGGGGCCTGTGACTTGTTAAAAAAATGTTCCAGAAAATACAGGAAAAATTATTTTTATTGTATGAGGGGCCTGTGACTTGTTTTAAAAAATGGTCCAGAAAATACAGGAATTTTTTTTTTCTTTTGAACTGTTTAGTGGGAGAGGCCTGTGTTTTGTTAAAAAAATAATTGTTCCAGGAAATACAGGAAAAAATAATTTTCTATAGTGGGAAGGGCCTTGGATTTGATAAGTTATGTTCCAGAAAACAGGAAAAACATATTTTGCTGCTATTAGTTGGCGAGCTAAAGGGTCTGGTCTCCAAATGTAGGGCTGTAACAGATATCCTTTCTGGTCCAATGAGTGAAATGCCTGTTTAATAGGGCTCACTGATAGGTCACATTGGTAATATGTTTTCAGTACAGACTAGACTCATCACTATCCTATGAGTCCAGTACATAGGGTCTTACAGCTTGTTGTGTGGTGAAAATGAATATAACAGAGATGGTGAAGTTAACAACTAGTGATTTCTCAATTGATTTTGTTCCCACAAAATTTTGTAAAAAAAGTGTCGCCTAAAACTTTAGCGACCTTGATGTGACATTGATTCAAGTGTAGATTAACATCTAGTCTCTGAAATGAACATATCTTACGGAAAAATAACCAGTTGTTATATTATCTTTAAAAAATATAATAAAAAGGAGCCAATTTTGCAGTTATCGAGACTTGGCAACTGATATAGACTTGCTTTATTGGATATATTTGTTTCAGGGTCTGTATGTCTGACAAACTCAAGTGGATACCTCGTATTTCCAGGTTGCGCATTCGGTCCTCCATGACACTCACGGCGCGCTGTTGTTTCTCCGCCTGATCGTTCTTCTTCTTGGTTTCCAGACGTAACTTGTCCAGTGACTCGTTAGCCAGGACCAGTTTCTGACTGGCGTCCCCCTGGCTGGCCAGCAGACGGTCATAGTCCTGCTGCAGCTTCTGTCAACAACAAGTCACATTTGTTTTGGTTAGCACTTTTAGCTACAACATTTAGGACTGAAACTTTGTAGGAATGATCCTACTTATAGTATTGCTTAAAGTTGCTCTAGATCTGATTCAAATTTTAACATGACCACCGTTATTTCAAAATAATTCAGGGGAGCTAGAGAGCCTTGATAATCTTTGTTATTGTGTATGTGTGCAAGGTGTGGTTGGGGTAGGGGTGGAGGGCAGTCAGCTCATGTGCAGATTGTGTGCAATTTTCCATTTTTCAGACACCTTATATGTCAACCGGTATCATCTCTATGACACAGCTGATATAGCTGACATACTGCCATTATGTCTGACTTACTGACTATAAATTTCACTCACTCACCTACCCACTCATTCAGCCATCTGCCCACACACCTACCTCACTCACCAACCCAACCAACCACCCATTCAATCACCAACCACCCACTCACTCACCAACCCAACCAACCAACCATTCAATCACCAACCACCCACTCACTCACCAACCCAACCAACCACCCATTCAATCATCAACCACCCACTCACTCACCAACCCAACCAACCAACCATTCAATCACCAACCACCCACTCACTCACCAACCCAACCAACCAACCATTCAATCATCAACCACCCACTCACTCACCAACCCAACCAACCAACAATTCAATCATCAACCACCCACTCACTCACCAACCCAACCAACCAACCATTCAATCATCAACCACCCACTCACTCACCAACCCAACCAACCACCCATTCAATCATCAACCACCCACTCACTCACCAACCCAACCAACCAACCATTCAATCATCAACCACCCACTCACTCACCAACCCAACCAACCACCCATTCAATCATCAACCACCCACTCACTCACCAACCCAACCAACCAACCATTCAATCATCAACCACCCACTCACTCACCAACCCAATCAACCACCCACTCAATCACCAACCTAACCAACCACTCACTCAATAACCAACCCAATTAACCACCCATTCAATCACCAACCACCAACTCAATCACCAACCCAACCAACCACCCACTCACTCACCAACCACCCACTCAATCACAACAAAACATACTCACTTGTTTGGGTTGTTTACCTTTGTTGACTTGGGGAACATTATGCAAATGATGATTTATTTTAATCAAAACCATGTCAGACATGTGAGTAACTTTGTTCTAAAGTTTACAGCAATAATGTTTGTTTGTTTGCTGTTTAACGCAACACTCAGCAATATTCCAGCTATTATGACGTCGGTCTATAAATAATCGAGTATGGACCAGACAATCCAGTGATAGACATCATGAGCATTGATCCATGTAATTGGGATTGCTGACATGCATCAACCAAGTGAGCGAGCCTGACCACCCAATCGCCTCTTACGACAAGTGAATTGAATCCATTAATGTGTATATTCTTTTAAACATGCCCATGTATATTAAACATTTGGAGAAATTTGTTTTATCATAAACCATATTTGTTTGCATTTTAATAAAGTCATAATAATTTTTTGCTGCCTTGCATCAGGGTGGTATATAACGAGTGAGTGAGTGAGTGAGTGAGTGAGTGAGTGAGTGAGTGAGTGAGTGAGTGAGTGAGTGAGCGAGCGAGTGAGTGAGCGAGTGTTTACACTGCTTTTAACAATATTCCAGTAATATCACGGTGATCATAATTGATTCCTCCATATTTGTAATTGTCAGCAGCAGCCTGTTCACCGGGATGTGTTCTAGGTAGAATTAAATCACCTGAGACTGATGGTTATCCAGCTAAGCTTCTTACCTAGGCTGGATCTGACTTGTACCCCCTCCCCTCGTTACCCATCCCGTCAGGACCCCCCTGTCAAAGTCTTAGTGTCAGACACCCTAATTACGCCAGGCTGGGCTGGTCCAGCTTCCTAAGAAGGATTAGCCGACATTGCACTGGTCCCTGGAGGGTAAAAATAGAAACAAAATAATACACTGAACTGGAACAAAAATAATATTCTTGGCGCTGTTCCACATAGTGATCTTAGTCTGCGACCACATTAGAATGTTCATGTAAGATTGCAGAAAGATTGTTCTCATGTCCTAGTGTCCCCCCAATGTCCTAGTGTCCCCCCAATGTCCTAGTGTTCCCCAATGTCCTAGTGTCCCCCCAATGTCCTAGTGTTCCCCAATGTCCTAGTGTCCCCCAATGTCCTAGTGTCCTACCAATGTCCTAGTGTCCCCCCAATGTCCTAGTGTTCCCCAATGTCCTAGTGTCCCCCAATGTCCTAGTGTCCTACCAATGTCCTAGTGTCCCCCCAATGTCCTAGTGTTCCCCAATGTCCTAGTGTTCCCCAATGTCCTAGTGTCCCCCAATGTCCTAGTGTCCTACCAATGTCCTAGTGTCCCCCCAATGTCCTAGTGTTCCCCAATGTCCTAGTGTCCCCCAATGTCCTAGTGTCCTACCAATGTCCTAGTGTCCCCCCAATGTCCTAGTGTTCCCCAATGTCCTAGTGTTCCCCAATGTCCTAGTGTCCCCCAATGTCCTAGTGTTCCCCAATGTCCTAGTGTTCCCCCACTGTCCTACCAATGTCCTAGTGTTCCCCAATGTCCTAGTGTTCCCCCAATGTCATAGTGTTCCCCAATGTCCTAGTGTCCCCCAATGTCCTAGTGTCCTACCAATGTCCTAGTGTTCCCCCAATGTCCAAGTGTCCCCCCAATGTCATAGTGTTCCCCAATGTCCTAGTGTCCCCCAATGTCCTAGTGTCCTACCAATGTCCTAGTGTTCCCCCAATGTCCAAGTGTCCCCCCAATGTCATAGTGTTCCCCAATGTCCTAGTGTCCCAGTGTACCCAAATGTCCTAGTGTCCCCCAATGTCCTAGTGTTCCCCCAATGTCCTAGTGTCCTACCAATGTCCTAGTGTTCCCCCAATGTCCAAGTGTCCCCCCAATGTCATAGTGTTCCCCAATGTCCTAGTGTCCCCCCAATGTCCAAGTGTCCCCCCAATGTCCAAGTGTTCCCCCAATGTCCAAGTGTCCCCCCAATGTCCAAGTGTCCCCCCAATGTCATAGTGTTCCCCAATGTCCTAGTGTCCCAGTGTACCCAAATGTCCTAGTGTCCCCCAATGTCCTAGTGTCCCCCCAATGTCCTAGTGTCCCACCAATGTCCTAGTGTTCCCCCAATGTCCAAGTGTCCCCCAATGTCCTAGTTTTCCCCCATTGTCCTAGTGTCCCCCAATGTCCTTGTGTCCCCAAATGTCCTAGTGTCCCCCAATGTCCCAGAGTTCCCCAATGACCCAGTGTCCCCCCCCAATATCCAAGTATCCACGAATGTCCTAGTGTCCCCCAATGTCCTTGTGTCCCCCAATGTCCTAGTGTCCCCCAATGTCCTAGTGTCCCCCCCAATGTCCCCCATGTCCTAGTGCCCCCCCCCCCCAATGTCCCCCTTGTCCAAGTGTTCTCCCATGTCCTAGTGTCCCCCCCAATGTCCCAGTGACCCAAATGTCCTAGTATCCCCCAATGTCCTAGTGTCACCCGAATGTCCTATTGTCCCTTCCCCAATGTCCTAGTGTCCCCCAATGTCCAAGTGTCCCCCTAATGTCCTAGTGTCACCCAATGTCCTAGTGTCCCCCAATGTGCTAGTGTCCCCCAATGTCCTAGTGTTCCCTCAATGTCCTAGTGTCCCCGTATGTCCTAGTGTCCCCCCAATGCCCTAGTGTCCATCAATGTCCAAGTGTCCCCGTATGTCCTAGTGTCCCCCCAATGCCATAGTGTCCATCAATGTCCAAGTGTCCCCCCAATGTCCTAGTGTCACCCAATGTACTAGTGTCCCCCCCAATGTCCTAGTGTCCCCCAATGTGCTAGTGTCCCCCCAATGTCCTAGTGTTCCCTCAATGTCCTAGTGTCCCCCCCAATGTCCCAGTGACCCAAATGTCCTAGTGTCACCCAATGTCCTAGTGTTCCCTAATGTCCCTTCCCCAATGTCCTAGTGTCCCCCAATGTCCAAGTGTCCCCGTATGTCCTAGTGTCCCCCCAATGCCCCCAATGTCCTAGTGTCCCCCCAATGTCCTAGTGTCCCTCAATATCCAAGTGTCCCCCCAATGTCCTAGTGTCACCCAATGTACAAGTGTACCCCCCCCCCCCCCCCCAATGTCCTGGTGTCCCCTAGTCCTGTCTCCTAGTGTCCCCCATATCCTACTGTCCCGTGCCCCATCCCAGCCCTCTTGTCCTTGTGTCCTCCAGTGTCCTGCTGTCCCCTAGTCCTGTCTTCTAGTGTCCCCCATATCCAACAGTCCCGTGCCCCATCCCAGCCCTCTTGTCCTTGTGTCCTCCAGTGTCCTGCTGTCCCCTAGTCCTGTCTTCTAGTGTCCCCCATATCCAACAGTCCCGTGCCCCATCCCAGCCCTCTTGTCCTTGTGTCCTCCAGTGTCCTGCTGTCCCCTAGTCCTGTCTTCTAGTGTCCCCCATATCCTACAGTCCCGTGCCCCATCCCAGCCCTCTTGTCCTGGTGTCCCCTAGTCCTGTCTCCTAGTGTCCCCCATATCCAACAGTCCCATGCCCCATCCCAGCCCTCTTGTCCCTGTGTCCTTTAGTGTCCAACATGTCTGTCACGTCCTCCTACCTTCCTCTCCTCTCTCTCCGCGTTGTACTTCCCCCTGATGTTGTCCAGCTCATCTTGCTTCACCTTCAGCTCCTTCTCCCTGCAAGGAGACACATTCACATCAACACAGACATCAACAAGATCTAACAGCAGTGCTGGCCTGGGAGTAGACTAACAACTAGTCTCTGAAATGAACATATCGTACAGAAAAAACAGTTGTTCAGTTATCTTAATAAAAATATAATAAAAGGGAGCCCAGTGACTCTCTTCATTTTCAGAAGATTTACAGCTAGAGATTTACTGATAATTACAAGCTCTGTGCTCACTTGTGAATTCAGCAGATTTGTACAGACCCTGATACTGCAGTGATCTAGACTTGCCAAACATTATAGACTTGCATGGGCTGTATGTGATATGTATTTGTATCAGGGTCTGTAAGACAGACTAGCCAGGGAGCTGCCATCTTGTTTAACTTTTAACTGTTTTTCATCGTTCAAAAATCATTATTCAAAGTTTGAAAATTTCAAAGTGATTAAGAGATTGCAAGGTTTTAATCGCATTAAAATCAGATCTTAGTTCTTGCTACCGCTTAACAAAGTTCGAGGACCTCCAATTACAGGTCACGTCAGACCAACCTTTCATCTGTCCAGCATTGCTTACCAGATCAGGAAAGAGACATTCGGAAAGTGTTTTCTAATCATGCAACCTCGCAAATTTAACACAGGGTATTCTGAACAACAGATATGGGTTTTACGCCTTAATCCATACAATCTAGGCCATCTATTAGCCATTCCAGAATATTCTCTTGTCCAGTTTTCAAAATTTTAAATGAGAACTTGTGAACATATGTTTCAAAGCATATAGTCGCCAGTTTGAAACATGTGATGTAAGCTGCCTTCTGATTGGCTAAAGTCAACTTCTTGTCAGTCATTCCACTGGTTGGTCAAAGTTTCTTGAAAGGTTGGTCCAACATAACCTGTAATGGGATGTTATCAGATCTTTGTTTAGTGGTAGCGAGAACTAAGATCTGATATACCGTATTCGACGTAATAAGCGCATGGCTCTAATAAGCGCCCACAGCGTTATTTGCTAATATATTGGCAAGTGAACGATCCCAATTAGCACCCCTTCCGATTGATCAATGTACACAAGACTTTTTTATTTGTGTATAATATGCACTCGTGTGTTATATGCACCCTTAATTATGGGCAATTAAATTCTGGAAAATATATCTGTCGTATATAAACAGTTCAGGCTGTCAGCATAAACCACGAAATTTATCTTTCAACTCTTTCAAAGTAATATTCTAATAAGAGCCCCCTATTTCTAATTTGGAGATGCCCTGGGCGCTTATTACGTCGAATACGGTAAATGAGATTGGCAAGGTCAATTCCATGTAATAGACTGTGGATGGCACAGATACAATCATTAATGCATGGTTCAGGTGAGTCCATCACGTCTACAGGGCACACTTGGAAACTAGGGTTGGGACGGGTAACTCGGGTACTCGGGTCGGGTGGGTACTGAGTAGGACCCAGGTACCCACAGGACTACCTGGTCCAGTGGTTAGTCACATGATATATTGTTTAATAACAAAAATTATCTAGAACTCTATGGTTACACTACAAGTCACTAATGTTTGCATTTCTTTCTGACTATGCACCCAATCCTTCAGACTTTTATATGTTTGAATTAAGATAAAAATTTCAGTCATCTTCAGTGTATGCACAACCAGATTGTTTTATATGTGTGCCTAATCACATTTTGACACAGTCTACGGTCAAACTCTTCTCAATCAGACAGTTTGTACCTATCTCATGAGACCTACAGCGGGTACACTGGTAGGGTCAGGTTTTGGTTTGGTTTGGTTTGTTATTTTACGCCGCACTCAGCAATATTCCAGCTATATGACGGCAGTCTGTAAATAATTGAGTCTGGACCAGACAATCCAGTGATTTACATCATGAACATCGATCCACGCAATTGGGATCGATGACATGCATCAACCAAGTCAGCGAGCCTGACCACCCGATCCCGTTAGTCGCCTTTTACGACAAGCATGGGTTGCTGAAGACCTATTCTACCCCGGATCTTCACGGGTCGGTAGGGTCAGGTAATAGGGTGGTGGGTACCCGGGTAGTGAATCTGGACTCGTCCCAGCCCTATTGGAAATCATTTTTATTTATACCTTGTTAAGATGTTTATTGTATGAAAACAGTGATAACTATACTTTCTCACAAGTAAACTGGTCAAACGCATGGACATGAATAAACAGGAACATATCAATACAATAATACAAAGTAAACATCGGAATTCCGAACCTGAAAAGGGTATTATCAGTTTCAATGGAAAGGAAGGCAAATTTTCTAAATTACCACTGCTTATCTCGCCTGTAGATGCGATAACATTCACTGAGTTCAAAGGCTGACAACCAGAAATTTTAAAATTGAAATGGTTATGATGGATTGATGTGTCCTTCTGTTACCATAGTGACCAATTTGTGACCTTGAGTGAAGAACAGCATTGATTGGAAAAATAAAAGACGAACATTTCAAATAACCTATATTTGTCATTGATCAAAATTATTATTCTTATTTGCAGACTGAATTTCAAAAGGGCATACGAAAACATCTCTACGACTGCCCTGGATACACTTCAAAAACCATTTATGTCTATCCCTGAAGTTGTACTGACATTTAAAAAAATATTTTATGATTTGTAGCCAATCAGAGATGTAGAAGTGTGCTGTAGGATGAGGTTGTTAACTTTCCAGACTTTAACAGGGAGCATGGGTTGAATACTCCCCAGGAAGCTGAGAATGATTGTTGAGTGCACACTGATCCAGTGACTGGGGTAATAATAGCCCTTTGAGCTTCCCCGGTGTGGTGTGGAAATATGCACAAGATAAATGGCTTATTATTATTATTATTATTATTATTATTAAATCCTAAAGCACACATTGGCAGAGATTTCTAATGGGTCAATCTGTAGCCCCCAGTTGTGACAAGTAGAAACATTGATATACGTATGATATGTGATAAAAATTGATATACATATGATATGTGATGCGGTAAGACAAGCGAGCATTATACTGTATTTACAAACAAGACAAATCATCCATTGTATATATGGTATATCTCCAAATAAAAGGAATCAAGTTCACTGTATTCCAACCTAATCTGACACATATATTGAATATACCAACATATATATACGTTACAGTTGAAGAAATAGAAACTTGTATTTTTACAATGTTAATCATTTAACATTCAACTGTAACAGTCAGGCCATTGTCACATGTCTTAACACACTCATTGTCAATTTAAAAAATGTGCATTCATTGCAAAACTAAAATATTTGCAATACATTTCTGTGTTTATGGAGGTTTAGCGTAAAAAACACTAGAAACAAAAAAACATATTGAAGTCAATTTTCATGAATAAATAAGTCAAGAATAACTTCACAGAGTGATAATTCAGTCAGACCCTGATACAAACTCAGTGACACCTTTCAGGGCAATAATGCAACAAAAACGGCAATAGTAGTCAGTGAGTGGGCATAATTTATTTTTAGTTTAATAGAAATATAAACACACAAATTAACTTGATTAGCCAATCAGATGCCATGGAAACACTTGCAATTTATTGATAAATCCATAGCAGCACAGTACAATCAGCTGTAAGTCTTTTCATATTCTGTGCTCTTGATACAAACCATACTGACATAAACTTCCATATAGACATCCACAGAAAGTCATGACTCCTTCACCCGAGCTCACCTTACCTCTCAGTATTGGCTGCTGCAACAATTTCTGCCGCTGTCGGATGTTGTAGATGTGTCCGAGAGACTTTGCGAGTTACACATTTATTTGTACCCAACATTTTGAAAATCTTTGGGGTTATTTTCTTGAATAATACTGTTTTTTTTAATAAGCCAGGTTCAAAATCACCCAGAAGACGAATTTTATCACCAAGTCCGTTATCAGTCAATAACTTTCAACTTTCACACCAAACATATACTTTGCAGGAAAATCACAATGATTTAGACAAATCATTGTCTTAGCTGCAGTGCATCTAGTCAGCAAAACAAAACTGGACAACTAGTTCACAAATACAACACATTCTTCACCTCCGCACGAAAACTTGAGATTTCCCATTTCTGTTGTGTACTTATCCATTAGTGAATGGTCCACATATGTCCAACTCAACGTTAAAAAACAACTTGTTTAATGAACTTAAATAATCCATCCAGTATTCCCCAAGACCAACTCTTCAGAAATCCACAAACTGAGTTCAGCAAGGGTGTTCTCTCTGCCCTGTTTTATTAACAGTAACTGCAAATAAACCAGCCCATCTACGTTACAACACATCTATTGACTATGTTAATACCCAGTAATGTCGGATGTTATTCCCACACAGTAATGTTTATGTTAAAACTTTATAAACATTAACTGCCCCACAACCTACACAGAGCAACAGGCCCAGCATAAACACTGCCCATTCACTTACAGGACACTATCACAATTAGCCTTGGTCCAGCACCATGAAGTGAAAAGAAGTATTGTCCAGCGAAGGAGAAAGGATTTTCTTATAAGCTCTTCATACACGACCAGGTAGTGTATATCACATTTACTTAATAGGAAATGCAAGATATTAGCTTATTACCCAGTATGTGCAGTGTAAGGGAAATATTAATAGGGAGATCATATAAAATCACAATGCTGATCAACCTGCATATCTGTGTATAATGATAATTCACTATCACAGAAAACACTCTGAGTAGGCTGGTCTGAATAGAACCTAATGCCTAATAAACTGTGATTAACATGCTATGTATAGCTTACTTTAATACCTAAATCACACCAGTGCCTAAGCCTATATTATCTGAGTCAACAAAAGGGAGTTATATACCTTAAACAATATAAAAGAAACAATTGATTTGGCTGTTGCACTGATATACCCAGTATACTCTAGCCACTTAATAGTCTGAAATAAATGTATAAAACATAAAAATCTGTCTTAATTCTTGGACCGTGTGGACTGTCTGCTATTTTGTTCTTGTCTTTTTTGTATTGAGAAATGTGATTTGCTTTTCATTTCT